TCTAAATACTTCTCTAAGGGGAAGACCGGGGCCGGGCTTACCTTTAACGGATACTTTAGAGCTATCACGCTATTTAGAGACGAAAACGGTATTATTATAGGTCTATAGTCTATTAACGCAGTGTTTAATTAGTAGCGCCGTGATAATAAATTAATAGTCGCGTTCTACCGCTAATAAGCCCTTAACGTCGGGTACGATAACCCCCTTAACCGTCGACTCCGCCGCACGATATTCGCCCTAATAAAGGAGGCAGAACACGTAGTCTTAGTTAACCTCGCGTAGTAGCTTATTACCCTATACCCCTAGCCGTAGTTTCTACTAGATAATAATATCGATATCGCTAACTAGCCCTAATACTCCTAGACATTCGAGTAACACCTTACTATAGCTTATTATAACGCCCCTAAGGCCTCTAATAGCTAATTCCTTCTTAACCCCCTATCCTGCCGCCGCCTAGGAACTATAATCACCCCCTCGGGTTCGCCGCTACCGCGTAGTAGCACTACGCTGGTCGCCTAAACTCCGACTATTAGTATACCCCCTTTATAGCTACACGACACTATCGTACTAGCTCGCGTCCTATAATTAGTCCACGAACTAGCATTGTTAAGCCTAGAGCTAGCGAACTTAGTAGAATATTTATAGAATAACGAAATCAGTGGCGTAGACTTCCTCGACTATACAGGGGATTACTCTTTTAGTATTAAGCCTCGCGTGACGGCTATCTAAGATTTCCTCTAATCGCTATAGAATATCCTAGCGCTAATTATATAAAGCGCCGCGGCCGTCCTCGCCGGATTAAGATTAGGTACTCCGGCACTACCCGTCACTAGCGTACTATCGCCTATCGCGGGCACTAAGCGCCCTTACTAGGGCTATATATTATTACCTTTAGCGAAGCGTATATTTACACGGTTAAGCCACGAGATTCTATACACTTAGGCAGCTATTAGCTTCGCGGCTAGCCTAAATAACCCCTCCTAGCTCGTATACTATAACGAGTTCACGCACGGCGAATAAACGTTCCGGGAAATTAGATAGCGCTCGCGCGCCGCCGTGCTAACGCTCCTAGTCGTTATCTAGGCGGCTATATTCCTTAATAAGTATATAGTAAACCACGATATATAGAACGCCGCTAAGCTAGGCCTGCTTATTAGTTTCTAGTATATAGGTAAACTAGTATACCTCGTTAAACTAAACGCGCTCAGCGTGTTAGAGGATACTAAACGGGAATATCTAGCCTAACGCTATATAGACGACGCTAACCTGGCTAAGGCAGTTATCCGGTATATAGCAGTTATCGCCCGCTATTACGACTCCTACGGGAAGAAGGGAGTTATAGCCTCCTACGAGATCTCGTAGTAAATAGTCGAAGAAGAAAAGACTAATCTCAGGGAGGGTAATATAACCACTATCCTTAGACACGAGATATCGCGCTAGGGCTTCCCGGATACTAACCCGTAGCCTCCCGAGGTTATAGAGATCTAGGGCTAAAGATTAAAAGCAGGGCGTAGTTTAGACACTAGGTTTTAGGCGTATTAGATTGATAGGAGTGTTTAGGCACGGGCGTAGGAACGCGCTATAGGAAATAGTCGGTTAGTCGCTTCGCTTTCTCCCGTTTACCTCGTTTCATTTTTCTTTTTTTCTTTCTTTCTCGCTATTCCCCTTTCGCTCCCTATCGCCACCTAGCGATTTACTTTCCCCTCGTATATCTTATTATACGGAGTAGTAGTTAGCGTAGTTAGCATAATATATTATATTACTATAACCACCTTTTCCTTTCTATTATAAGCACTACCGCGTCCACGGTTACTAAAGTTATAACCGGGCGGCGCCGCCTTCCTAAAAGCGTAGGAGTCTACACGCCTCGCGCTATTAGTTCCGTATAGGTTAACGCCCGCGGGACGTAGGGCTTTCGTTACCCGGGGTATATAATACGCCTCTAGCGAGGATAGCGTAAGCACTATCCGCTCTATAGCTAAGCAGATAGCGCGGGCGCTATTCGCGTGGATAGAGGACATATAGCTCCGGTACTATCCGTACGGATAAGGAACGTATAGCGCCCGGACTACGCGCGGGAATAGCGTAGTATAGATACTCGGGTTATAGTTAGACCAGACCGGCTAAGGGATATACCCTCGGCGCGGTTCCCCCTTTATTTAGTAGAAGATATTTTTATTCTACCCTTATATACTAGAGTAAAGGTCGTCCTTTTAAACCCTAGAAGCCCTAGGTGTAATAGTACTGGCTGGCCAGGAGATATGCCGGACAGGCATATTAGTCCTCCTATTATTCCGACGGCCGCTACCGACCGGCCTGCCCGTAGTAGGCGTCCAACCGACCGATATACCCCTCCTTCCTTTTATACCTTCTATAACTTGATTAAGATGCCGAAGAAGCCGCTGCTACGCCGCGATATACCTAAGGAACCTCTAAACTAGTCTTAAATACTAAAGAGTCCCTATAAATTAGAATAGATTAAGGCCGCCTTATAGGAGGTCGGCACGCTTAGGTTAATAGGCACCTTTAAACGGTGGGAATAGTCCTACTAATAGGGGCACGGCTTAGGACTGCCTGAATTAGTTCTAAGGCCACGAGACCTTAAATAGGTTTTTAAGTATAAGGTCGATCCTACTAGTTACGTTAATAAGTTTAAGGCACGCCTATGCGTTCGAGGGGATCAATAACCTAATAACCACCTTAACGCCTACGCCTCCACCCTCGCTGGAAGGACCTTTAGGTCGCTGATAGGTATTATAGCCCACTTCGATCTCGAGACTCGGTAGCTTAACGCCGTTAACGTATTTACTAATACCCTGCTTAACGAAGAGATTTATATTAAGGACCCTCCTGGTTAGTAGTTACTCTAGTCGGCTACGGGCCTTAAAGCCCACGAATAGCTCGAGGACCTTTTAAAGCAACGCCCTCCTATATAACAAAGAGGGATTTAACAGCTACATCAAGCATTATATAGCCTTCGGCGTTCCCTAAAGCTATAGCACTAATAGCTCTTTTCCGTACTAGGTAAGTACGGTTTAAAGCAATTAACCGAAAACGATTACGTCTTTAAGAATAAGGTCCTAATTACTTTCTTTTACGTTAACGATATTATCCTAATCTACTGTAAGGAATATTAATCTACTATAAATAACCTAGTGAAATAGATATAGTAGAGCTTCCAGATTAGAGATTTAGGACTAATTAAGTGGTTCCTTAGAATCCACGTAGGACGCGATCGTTAATAACGTAAGCTATAGTTATCGCTTAATAACTATATCACCGATAAGATAAGAGCGTTATAGGTGGATTATAGAGGTCGGAGGGTTAAAAGCCCTTTTCCTTATCCTGATAGTCTAGAACCTGCCGACTAATAAGCCTCCGAGGAATTAATCTATCTATATCTTCGGAAGGTCGGTTCTATTAATTACCCCGCCTATTAGACCCGATCTAATATCTCTAAAGCCGCTTTAAAGCTTACCGAATTTAGTACTAACCCGTTAAAATAGTATTATAAGGCTACCGATAAGTGCCTGAAGTATCTCGGCTCGATAAAGACCCTATACCTTTACTTCGGACCACGTAAAGACTACTAAATGCCTATACTCTTCTATACTTCCGACGCCGCCTTCGCAGACGACCGTAAGACCAGGTATAGCTCGTAAGGGTACACGACCCTGCTATTCGGCGGTCCTATAGACTAGAAAGTAAATAAGCAAATAAGCGTCGTGACCTCTAGTATTAAGGCCGAGCTTATAGCACTTTCTGCTACTACTAGGCAGTATATCGCGATAAGGCGTTTAATAAAGGACCTAACGTTAACCTTTAAGAAGGAACCACTAACAGTATACTACGATAATTAACAGACTAAGCAGCTACTAGAATCTTCTAGGCTATAGGTTACCTCGAAATTAAAGTATCTCGATATCCACGCCCTTTAGATCCGATAAACCCTTTAAAAAGGGACCGTCTCGATTAATTAGATCGCTACCCACGATATAGTCAGCGATAGCCTTCTAAAGGTACTGCCCCCGCAGAAACACAGGGCGTTTATATATCTATTAGGGATAGAGGTCCTAAGCCACGGGGCCTAAGGCAATTCATAAGAGGCGCGGTGCCGAGTTTATAATCTATAGCCTAGATTAACCGTGGTTTTAATGCCCTTTAGATTATTATTTAGGCACCCGTTTTTAACGTGGTTTTAAGGTTAATTTAACTACCTGTTTTTACACGTTTTTAACGTTTTTAGGCATAAAAGGGGCGCGCTTTTTAATAAGCCGTTCTTTAACCGTTAGATTAATATCTAGGCCACTGTTTTACCCTAGATTTACGGCTTTAAATTAAGCAGAATAGTCAGGATCAATCCTGCAGTTCTAGGAGGGTGTATTAGATACCATAGCCACCTTATCGGGGTGTGATAAGCTATATAGTGTTAGACGTGTAGAGTACCTCGGTCCTATATATCCACCCTTATTTCCCCTGCTTTTTCCGTATAGTTAGACATTCCCGTGAAGTATCACAAACTTCACTTAGATGAATACACACACAATTCCGCGTACCTTATTTGTGTTCTGACACCTTGACTGAAGCATCCGTACTGATATATTGCCGAAATTCCCCTCGGAGCATAGGAAGTATGTGGAGCAATCAGGAAATAACCGGAGGGGCTTTGCGCAGCACAAGCTTGTGCCAACGCTTGGGACCCCCAGCTACGAGATCACCAGTAAGCGCGTTGTCTTGAACTACCTTATCCCAAGAGTTCTTTCTACTCCGTGATCCTGCAACGTCACTCCTAGTCACATTTTCTTTTTAATACTCCTGCCTTAGTGAACGACATTAATCCATCAATCAACCAGCCAAGCATAGCGCAATGAGGAATGCAACCAAGAACGCCATTACCCCAAGCCAATGGTACAGGTACAGCGGCCTACCACCACCCAATGGCCTATATCAACTAGAAACACTTGGTATCGAGCCGATCCAGAAGGAAAACGGGACGGAGCTTAGTCGCTGTCATCGCTGTCATCAGCAGCTCCCGAAGCCGCTGTCTTGGCGGCCTTCTTCGCTTCCTTGGCGGCCTTCTTTTCCGCCTTCCTCCGCTTCCGTTCCGCCTTCTCATCCGGCGTCTCGCCCTCGTGCTTCTTCCGCTTCTTCGAGTCCTGCTCCGCTGGCGTGGAAACCTGAGGGGCGGGCGCCGCCTTCTCAGCGGGAGCCGGGGTCTGGGGCGCCGCGGCCGCTGGGGCTGGGGTGGCGTCGGCAGCACCGTTGCCATTGAAATCCTTGTACTCGGAAACCCACTTGGCCGGCGTGGCCTCGTTCGGTCGTCCGTACTTGTCGAGCTTGCCGTCGGCCTTCATCTTCTTCTTCTCGGAGGCCAGGGGGCCGAGACCCCATCTCCTCGGGTACAGGTCGCGTTCCATGATGCAGCGCTTGACCTTGGCGACAACGCCGTGGTCGCAAGTCGACATCTCGACGGTGGACATCTGCGCGATGGCGAGGGCGATGGCCTCGCCCTTGGTGGTCATGAGAACCACTTCGTCGTTGACCTCAATACCAGCCTCTGATGCGCAGCGCGTTAGCCCTCGTTCACAGACAAAACAAAATCCCAACATATGCGCAATCCACTTACCATATCGAAGCAGACCAGGAAGCATGAGCTTGGCGCCGTAGCACACAGCGTTGACAGCGCTATCCTTAACGACAATCCGCTTGTAACCCACAAGCAGGGTCTCCAAGGGGACGATGACCTTGCGAAGGTACGATTCGTCTCTGGTGTTGTCCATCATCCACTGAGCATCAAGGACATCGTGGAGCGTAATCAGGCCGAGGTTCTCGTCCATGGCTCCACTCCGCACTCGTCGGAGTTCCTGCATGTGCGCGCCAACACCGAGAAGCAGACCCTAGACAAACAGTCAGCACAGCAAAAAGGGACCGGTGGGTTAGGGGGGTGAATCGGCCGTACCAGATGGACACAAAGGGTTCGAATGTACGTGCCCGCTTCGCAAGAGACCCAGAAAACACCGAGATGGCGATCATTGTCGAACTCGATAAGCTTGGATTCGTGGATGGTTCGGATACGAAGCTGGCGCTTGACAGCCGAAATCAGAGGAGGACGCTGGAACAGAGCACCGGTCAAAGCTGGAGATCAATTTGAGTTAGCCAGCGCGTTGATGTCGTGGGGTCAGATGGGCTGTTCGACTTACACTCGAGAGCACGGGCAAATTGGACTTGACCGCCGGGCAGTTTGTCGTGGAGCCGAATGACACACACGTACTCCTTGCCGGCACCTTGCTGGCTCTTCACGAGTCTTGTGGCACGGTCAATGCTGCCAAAAGGTTAGATCGCGGGGGTAATTCGTAGACTGTCTGGGGTCGAGGTAAAGTAGGCAAAACATACCAAACAATCAGGCAGCCGGTGACCTTGGGGTCAAGAGTTCCGCTGTGGCCAGTCTTCTCGGCGCTAGATTGAAAATGTCAGTCCTGACGCTCGAACGACGGGAGATGAATAACGGCGGACGCAGACTGCTCTCTCGAAGAATGGACGATCTCGGTACGGCGCGTGATGATGGCCCCTTATTACCAGCAAGGCTCGTCAAGGACAAGCCACCACGAGATCTAAGAGGTTGTTCGAACCCGGATCGACGCATATATGGCAAGGACCCGGACGGCTTTCGCATCCATTGCAGTATGGTCGTCCATTCTCGAGAGAAGCCCTCGCTGTTCCCACTGAAGAACCTTATGAAGACAAAAAGAAGAGACGTACCGAAGGATACGCTTCAGCCAAGCGACGACCTCGTGACTGCTAGGCTATAATATCAACCCAGTTAGAATCAATTTTCCCCATGATTCCTCAATATTCGCAAACGGAACGGGATAATCGGGTTTGTCAAGGGAAAATACGAACATTCGAAGGCTTGTCGAGGTTAATGACACCGCTCGAGATGTATGACTTGATGTCTCGCTTAAGAGGGCTGCAACCCGCGGGGATGGGAGTAAAGTGACCAGTGCGAACGAGGACTGCAGGAGGATTACCAGCCAGTGTTAGCAAAGCGTGAAATTTACGTCAAACTTTTTAATAGAATTATCACCAAGTAGAGAGAACCACGGAAGGGTAGAAAGGGGGGAACTTGCGCTTGTCGTAGTTCTTGAGGAGCAGCGGCCACGTGCTGGTGTCGAGCTGGGGGGTCAGGGCCTGAGGCTTGATGGTATGCTCGTCATCATCGGCGGCAGCACCTGGCTTGCCGTCATGCTTCACGATGTCCATGGTCATGGTTTCGGTCGTCTCTGTCTGTCTCTGTTCGCCTAGCGGCTTCTTTTTTGTTCTTCGCGACCTTCCGTTCTGCGGCAAATACCTAATTGACGGCTGGAAGAATCCGTCTGGGTAAAGCAGCAGGAGGAATTGGGGGATTGGGTGGAACGGGTGTCGCAACTTCGTCACAACGAGGCGGTTCGACGCAAGTTTCTAACAAGGCTGGGAACAAGAGCTTCCAAATTTTTCTTCTCTTTGGACGAACTTTTGCTGTGGGGGGCAGCTACTGGCTCGCATTGGGCGAAGGTTCAATTTTGATTGGTTCCATGTATGTGGCGTCGGTGACTTAGCCACGGTTTCTGCCACATCCCAGCGCCACAATCGCTTATCACCTTATCGGACACACGCTCTCTGCCCTGTCAGGTTTGGTTTGTTCCTATCACCAAGTTCCCAAAGGACGAGGTCATTGATGTCTCCGTCAATACCTACCGGGTGACCCCTTTTCAGTCCATTCGTGAGCTCGACGTTGATACAAACTCTAGGGCCGTCATTTACATTCAGCATACTAATTGATCACTGCAAGAGAGAGAGGCATATCGACTTGGTCGATCTTGATCGAAGGACGAACAAAAAATCAGATATCTTTGCTTATTGTTGCTAGCATCGACAATCAGACAGATCGGTATCTCGAGACTCCAAACTCCAGCGCATTCCCACGCCCAAAATTCGACAACGGAGGTGCGGTCCCGCCTACTCAGCTTCTCTTACCACTGATGCCGTTGCCAATCTTCTTGCGGCGAGTCGTGATGGTCGGCCGGATTGTAATAGCCATATACTGGCCGCTCGGGAGGAAGGATTTCGGGAACGGGTGGGTTTTGCGCGACAGGTTGAATGTTACCAGCCGCGGGATCCACTTCTTTCAACTCGTATAACTCGTCCACAACGCCTTTGCCCTTGACGTCTTGCCACATGGGTGAGGGCTCGGGCCCGCCAAAGGCAACGCCGATTTCACGCATGTCCTGCACCGGGGACCGGGGAAGTTTGTTGTCGCTAGGCCACTGCATGTGTTTCGCCTCTACCGCGGTGTCTGGGCTGTTGAATTGCGACGAGTAAGGGGAGAAGTATCTCGTTGAGAACTTCTCCGTGCTGACGCTTTGCGGGGAGTTATCCCAATCCCGCAACGGCTTCTGACTCTGAGGCGTGTCGTCCCAGGTCCGCGGGGGTTTCTGGTTGGCCGGGTTGTCGAAGTAACTACCCCCCGAGGTGTTGATGGGCGTCGGCCAACCGCCGGCTCGTTTCTTCATCTTGGTCTCAAGGTCTCTCATGAACGCCCTGCGCTTCCTCTTTCCGTTCCAGATGATAAAAGCGCCGGCGACTGTCAGGATGAGGACCAAGGACCCGAAAGCGATTCCCACCCGAGCGTTGAGATCGAGCGGGCCGGGATAGTAGTTGGGGATGAAAGTGGCCGTGGGCGTCGGATCGGTGATGTTCACCGGAAAGACGGAGAAAGGCGTGCCGTCGACGGAGACAGGAGTCCCGTTTGGAGGGCGCTGCTCACACCCTGCTTGTAAGACGGTGAGGACTGTTGGTGTTGTGTCTACAAGTTAGCGCTGTCACTCTTCACAGTTCCAAGTACATGACGCACAATTGGAGATAAAATGGTGGTCATCGACCCGTAGACACTCCAAGCATCGCGGCAGCTGATCGTAAATCCAAGCACCGCAATAGCCATACGCGGTGGAGTTGCTCGCAAGGTTGTTATGCATGATGGCGTGTTGGAGTGGTTCGCATGCAGTGCTGGCAAGGAGGACAATAGGTCAATGATATGCGACCCGGGGCTTCAACCGGAACCAGGAGCACTTTTTCACTTACCTTGTCAGGCAGGGACCAGACAACGCAAAGTCATTCTCAGGATACCCAAAGACACAGTACGACACAGCATAACGGAGGTTATCTGGCTCAGAGCATAAGTGTAAGAATGATTGCAGGACGGGTAGATCATCGCGGATCTTCGCAGAGCTTACATAGGAGCCATTGTGTGTCGTGCTCGATGCCGGTGGTATAGCCACTCCTCAACTGGCAAGTGGTGCACTGCTGGAAGACAACACCTTCGGCGGAGCTTGCGTAATCCTCTTCCTTACAAACGATGTCGTCGGGTGTCGTGGAATCGAGGACATTGCCGCATAACCCCTGGCATGGCGAGCCGTTCGCGACGAGAATCGCGGCTCCCTGGCCCAAAATCAGACCGAGGATGAGCGCCCGGCTCGCGAGATACATTTCGGGCGGACGACTTGAAAATAGGTCTCAACTGTTGGGGTGCGGTCTTCTTTGCGAGGGGTAGACTCGACGAGAGGTACCAAAAGACCCGTGTCGATTCGAAAAGTTCCGTGGTATCCGAACTTCGTGTCACAGCCCCGGTGTAAGGGGCCGCAAAGACAGATTTCCCTCCGATGATGCGTAGAATGGTCAAGATTAGAAGCGATTAACGGAATTCGAATTCGAAACCCGAGCGGCTAGCGACCGGACGTGGTCGAGACAGTCTTCATATGTATTCCAAGGTCACAAGAAGAAGCGGGAAAAGGGGGCCCGAGCGGTCAAAAAAGAGCGACAACCGCGAGGTGGTGGCTCTTAAGAGAAGCGCCGCCATGAGCTCTCATCACCTGTCTTGTTTGGTGATATTGCAGCTTGTGGCTGTTGGTGCAAAGCAGACGGGATCGATCACAAGTGGCACTGCCCGTGCCGGGGTATCTACACTTGCTTGGCCCCCAAGGTCGGGGTGCCCGGCATGGAACTTCATATTGCCTGTGCAAGTCGTCTGCGGGATGGTTTATTAGGGCAACACCAGACGCCACACTCAGGTTTATCTACGGAGTGCCCTACCACCCTACCTCTTGTTGCTTGTTGTCTCTACCCGTCTTTGTCTTCTCCATCCGATTGCCGCCGTGATTCAAGGTGGCAGTCTCTTTGTACAGCCAATAGGAACCCGCTATATTGCCAAGACGATGTGCTGAATGCAAGGTATTGTCGCAATTCACACGCACTAACCAGTTCAGTGTGGGACTGTCTTTACCACCATATCATTGGTGACTGTCTGGTTGGTTGATCACCAAACGGTGGTGGGATGACCCGGCACCATAACCTCACTTTCTATCGCTAAATAAACGTATACCTGTACGAATTTACCTATCATTTGCCAAACAACTGATAAGATCAATATGGTCTGCCTCACTGTGAGCATAGACGGTGGTGGGGGCCCGGGCCCAGCCTCCCTCCATTTGCGGTGTGGTATACCTAGTGCGTAAGGTATGTAGGTTTAAACCATTATTACTTACATATGGCAGACATGCCAAACTCTATCACGCATATGGCTCTACTTTAAGCGCAATGCAAGTGTCTAGGACGTAAAGGACAGAATCGACGTCGCACAGAGAAAATCAACTTATGCATACGACGTTGATGGAGTATATTTAAGTTGTATCCTTGGAACACAATCTTCACATACATAAGGTGGCATAACTATAGATTCGTTTATCGTTTATATTTTAGATGTGGAATAGATCACGCAGCGATTGAATACCTAAATCCCGTCTCGACGCCCGTTTCATGAGCATGCTTTCCCACACATATGAGAACACATATTCCCGAATATCATAGCCATCTTCCCCCCCAACGACCGAACTCCTGGCTGAAAATTGTGGCGTGGACCGCTGTCTTGGGCCTGTCTTTAAGAGACTGGCCATATGCAGAAAAGAGAAAAGAGAGACGGAAGATAGTAAAAGAAAACTACAAAGCAAAAGTAAGATCAAAAAGATGGTTTTAGCAACTCAGGCAGCTATCGAGTTGTGAGTGGCAGTGGCCTCATTTGTCTCCCCATTCGTGCACCTTGACTGGGCGACCTCGTCTGGTATGGGCGCCAAGGCCGCCTCATTTGAGATTCCGTTGTAGCTTCCCGCAATAACAAGGGCGGCCTTCGGAGTCTGCGCTTCATGAAACAGCGGCGACGGCGTTCGAGCGGAATTTGACTCCAATGTTTCAGCTTGGGAGCTTGTTTCGCTTGTTGGACGTCCATGGGAATCCAAGTACTCAGGGGCCTTGCTGGCAGATCTCCCTGAACTATCTGACGTCTCTGTATGTCTTACAGTCGGGGCGTCAAGAGACGCGAGAGATGCCATATGCGATGACGACATATTCGCCCCATCGCGAGTAGAGCTGCCTCCCGCATGTCCCCCATGAACAGGACAGCTGGGTGAAATGATCGATTCGACCTTCTCAAACCCCTGCTCCGGGCAGCTTGAAAGTTTCTTAGAGGAGCTAGAAGTATTGGAGTTGTGAGACTTGTTGGACCTGTCGGACCTGTTGGACCTGTCGGACCTGTCGGACCTGTTCGACCTGTTGGAACGGTTGGATTTGTTGGACGCCTGGGAGATGCTAGATCCCTCGCGGTCGACCAACCCCGTCAGTTCTTCGTTGTTTGTCAACTCTTTGCTATGAGGCGTCTCTGTCGGTACGAATATTGGGGGAGAGAAGCCCGTCTCTGGTTGCCGGCCACGCGAGGCAGTTCGAATACCATTGCGGCCTGGGGTTCTAGATCTATCACGAGCGTTGCGGGATTGAATGTTCTCCTCCTCGGCGGCAGATCTCGATCTTGTATGGCCGAGACGCGACATGGGCCTTGAATGCTCGAGAGCCTGTCGAGCATTCAAGACCCGCGTGTCGTTGGACAAGATGCTCGGACTAGCAGCAATTAGAATGGACGAAACGCCCTCAGCTGGGCGGCTCCTGCTACAGTTGCGGGATTTAGGCGAGCGCGGCCGATCCGGGAACGCCGCATTGAGCTCGTCTGGCGACGCCCCGCCATTTTCGCCTGCTGTTGCCCTCTGGGAAAAGTGTTCTAGATGTCGTAAGGCGGCAGATGTGACATCGCGATGTGATGCTGACGAATCGGAACGGCCGTGGTTCCGCGATCGGCTCGTGTTACGGGATTTTGGAGATGATGGTCGAGGTGCATGTGCCTCCCTAATCCTGTCTCGCGCAGCGTTGCGATCTTCTGCGCCGGACTTCGTGGGCTGCGACTTGCTGAAGTTCCGAGGAGGGGTTCCAGACTCAGCACGGGGTGGCTCCTTTGATGCGGAGCCGTCGTCCTTCCAGGTTTTGTTGCTACTGGTGCACGACCGGACAGTATGAGAGCTGCTGGGACGGTTGACTGGGTCACTTTGCTGCGCCCATGCAGCCTCCTGACGAGACGTGATCTGCCCAACTAAGGTGGATTTAGTGGTGGGAGGCCACCTGAAACTTCGCTGCTCGACGGGTGTATGCAACACGTTGTTTGGGTCCAGAAATAAAGACGGTGACATTGGCGAGGCTAAGTCATCGAAAGGAGTAATGGGACTGTAGTAATCTTGGCTCTGCGTAATCGAAACCTGGCCTCCATAGATCTTCTTGTCCGGGAGTCTTCGCGGATATCCGCTTAAAGGAGCACCGCTGTCTGGGTACGGCGTGCTCTCCGCGGGGGGACGTTCGTTCGACCTGACAGATTGATTCGACTGGACTGAGTGAACCGATTGAACCGAGCGTAGAGAGTGCACAGAGTAGGCTGACTGGCTACTGAGCGGCTGCGGACTCAAAGCCTGCCAGGGTTGCAGTGGTGGTGATTGTGGAATGATCAATTTCGGGCGAAGTGCCATCGGAGTCGGGCTCGGTGCACTTGGAGTGGGTATGTCAAAGCTGTCCCCACCTGGCGAGCGTGCAGTCGAAGGTTGCGAGGCCTGGCTGGGGGGTGCCTCATGGAAAGGCGGTGGTGGAGGAATATTGACTAGCGGTGCTGGCTTAGCCTTCTTTGTTGATGCTGAGTGATTTGAAGACTCCGTAGCGTTCTTTGTGGATGCTGTGCGGTTTGAAGATTCCGAGGTAGTAGGTTGGGGCGCAGACGGTGGACGAGGAGTCCTCGATTCACGGGGTTCGCTCTGAGTTTCGACAACGTCTTCGCCTTCCGGGCGATGCAGGAGCTTGCCATATGGGGTGTGGTCAGTGTCCACGACAAGGAGCTCCTTTTGGCCTCGACCGAGAAGACCGTAGACTTTCACCTCGCCACTTTGAATGCCGACAACGGCACTCGTCCCGGCATATACAGCATCATCTTCTGTGCCTGTTCTGTTACAGAAGACGACGATAATCTCTTCATCGTTCTCGGCGCGAATGAGTGGCTCCAAACGGGTGACCCAGTACGTCAGGGTTTCCATGTCCGGTTCATTGGGCATTCGGCTGAAAAGTCGTCCATCTTCGCGCGTCATCCAAGCCATAGACACGATGACGAAGTTGGACTGATACTCGAGAATGTGGAAGGCGAATTCGAAGGCATGCCATGGCGCCTCAAACTTGTAGGGACTAATTCGAATGTCAATATCGTGTGCACCGAAATAAAGATTATAGAGCTTTACTCACTTGATGTCCATGCCTGAGAGGAAAGAGTTAGTATAGATCTAATGCCCGTGGAATGACAGTAAATGAGGTGAGCAACTTACAAATTCCTATGGATGTATGTCCAAGTCCCGGAATGTAGCCCTCATGAAACCCCTCATTTCCTTCCAATGCCCAGGTCTCGTCGGTGTAATAGAGAAAGCTCTTGCGGTAATTAGCGATGGTCTCACCATCACCGTTGACGACAATAGCCGAGTTGTAGTACTCCGGTCCAGTTGGCCATTTTCCTGACACATCTACCTTCTCCGGGTAGCCGACGGTGACGATGCAGTTGTATTTCAAGGCGGTAGTGCGGGCCCAAAGCGAGGTAATGCCAGAGCCGGAAGGTTCAAGGTAAGGCGAAATGTGTTCTAGGGATTTGAAGTTGTAACCTGCCACGCGTTAGCGTCCCGCCCTTTGCTCGCCAGTCTTGACCTATCGTCGTCAGGTTTCGCAAATGTTATGCTCGCGCACGATGCGACCGCGCCCAGTGCTAAGGTGAAACGGCGACGACAAGAAAAAGAAAAAAGAAAACTTGGAAGTAGTGGACCAGAAAAGAGCAGAAACGGCATCTCGACTCACCAGAGAAAGCCAGTTCCGGGAGAACCAGAATGTCAAGTTCCTCAGGGTTCGCCTTGCTCAGGACAGCATCAGCTCTGTTAAGGTTGTTGTCAACGTCGCCTACCTGGGGCGCAAACTGAAGGCACCCGATCCTCATCTTCGCTAATTGTCAACTAAAGCCGCCCGCTTGAAAAAGAAGCGAAGAGGAGAAAGCGCGACAACCAGCTCGCCTCGACGATACGAGTCTGATGTGTCTGACGAGGATGAGCGCAACATGGACAGAGGTGGGGTTAGTGGGGATTTTAGGGAGAATGGAGAGAGAAAGGGGATAAGGTCAGTTTGGGGGGTAATTAGTGCTAATCAAGTATTGTTATGAGGGCAGCGAGAAGAAAGAGGAGCCCAAGTAAGTACTTCGTACCGCCTCCTGAATGACGCCGAGGATGGCTGGAGGAGGGAGAACCACTGGCAGAATACTGGCCTGGCTCTTGGTGGAAGAAGCATCCCTAATCATTAACTGTACGAAGTAGTGTAGGGATTAGATATGCATGTTGGTCCTAATGATGCGCGAGCTGGGTGGAGCCGAGCTGAAAGATACAACCAACGAGGGGCCCGCAGTAAGCGCCAAATTCACTCGGCCGACAAGTCCCATCAGTGTTGAGGATTCATTGTCTTCGCCGCACCTTCATTACTTTGTCTCCCCGGCCCCCGGCGGTATCCTCCACATATTTCCCCGTCTATACTCGACTTCGTGCAATGATAGGCTGCAAAATAATTATGTGATTGTTAAGGGAACAGACTGTCGGGACAGCACCGTGGTCTGAGGGCTAAGTGTGCAGCTCATCCGGCTTAGCCGGCGAATGAGCGACAAATCCCTTTGTCTACTCGGTCACCCGAAAGACCAAGTTTGTCTGTCCTGCCAACGAATATTGCGCCGTCTTTCGAGCCTTGCACTGGTTCCACCGAGGTCGATCATAGGTTGGCCTTTAAATGCGCAGTTGGTATTACGAACTGCCTCAAACTTTTGCAAAGGGGGTGTGAACTGTGTGACTGTAACTGTACGCCGTATAAATTCGCGTCATCCGCTCCAGATACATGGGAGGAAAACACAGGAAAAGAAAGAAAAAAGAGCTTTGTAAATTCAAATATAAGAACCCAAAAAGGAAAAGGAAGGGGAAAAGAGGAAAGAGGAAATGCCAAGGATATCAGTGACTAGGTAGGTACCTACCTTACAACGTAGGATCATGTAGTTCGTACCACCTACTCCACGGGGAAAGTATCAAGTTGGGTGCCTGGAGCCTTCCTTGCGTGGGGGTGTCGTGGCTCATCCGTGTTCTGCATCCGCCAGTGGTCACGCGATTCTAGGACCAGTGCCTTTCGCAGCATTCATTGAAGTCATATACGTACTGGTCTACGGAGTACATATACTCGCCAGATGGACGGATACGATCGACAGAATAACAAATGGCTACATTTGTTGGGAGACTCATGCCATGGAGAAGCATATGTACCTTAGGTAGGTTCTGGTGTGGGGCCGATGGTCGTCCAATAGCCTACCTGTACGTTGGTACCTTATCCATAAGCGCTCAAATCCTCACCGCATTCTGTTTTGGCAATATACGTGCCAAGCGTGGATCTTCCTCCAGCCCTTTTTCTGCTCGATTGGCCCAATACGCGATATTCGGGGGTTTGTTCTTATCCCTGTCGGTTCTCACCAATAACAGACCCCGCCTCCCCTTTGCCACGATTCGTTCTAGCGCCAACAGCCCATCCAAGCGTGCATATTCCACGAAGTGTCAGCCCTGACACACACAACGAGGTCGAGTACTGTTCTCCGCTTCAACGGAGTTAACCTCTCATCTTGCTACTTATCAAGATGATATTCCGAAACAACAGCCGAGAGCCGCGTCTATTGAGCTTGTCTGTTATCTCGCCTTGTTGGCCCGATGTGAGGACCGGTGATCACTGATAGGTTCTTTGGGACTTCATCGGGGATACCCCGTGACGTCGGTCGTGGTTGTCTTCCGAATCTCACGCTACACTAGCGCCATTTATTGCCTAATGCAGTTCTAAAACACGTGTATGTCGTTTCAAGCTTCATTTTTTCTCTTTCCATGGTCGTGGCGATCGTGACGCTTGGTCCAGGTTAACATGACATGTCAGAGGGCTCCGAGTGATTGGAATGGGCGGGGTGCCTTAAAGCGATTGTCAACCACAACTTACAATGTTGGCCGTCGATCGACCGACCTTCTTTCATCTTCATTCCTTGGCCTTTTCCAGCCTGCGGTCTGGCGGTTCAATGCTTGCCAATGACTTCCCCAACTACACTGCAACAAAAACCTACTGACCCGCAAACCAGACAGGCGGAACTGGAAAGCCGGGCCTGTGATATAGTCATGGGTCATAGTCACAGTGCGTCGCTTGGTGTTTGACTTTTATTTCGCCACAGGCTCTTTTTTCTGTCAGTCCGGTTCTCTATCCCTCGTTCTCGAGTGCCCGTAGGTCACCAAACTGCCCGCCAACCCTCGACACGTCCTTCATTGATACCGAAGCTCCACTTCCAGGCTACTGGTCGTGGCCCTAGGTTTAGGAACTCCGAACCAATAGCAGTCCAATCTGATGTGGCAAAGACGATAAATCTTTGTTTCTTCAGCCATTGTCATATCGAGTAAAGCGTCTCGACGTTCAAAGCGGGTAGAAATCGACACTGTTGGAGGCTTTTACCAGTAACATCATCGTGTGTGTATCGTGGAAAATGGGCTCGAGTGGCCTAACCCGAGACTGCAATCCACGAGACTTGAGAATTGTTTGCGCAGCGGTTCTGTTGTCAATGTCTCATGTATCAGGAACAAATGGGCACAAATCGCCACGGTGAAGTTTGCCTCGGACCGCCTTATCCCCAATAATTGGAATATATACTTTTGTATCCAGCAATATATCTACCTACCCGGGTTTGGGGGTTTATAGGCTACTAAAGGTTAGAGCACCGGTGACTGGCCAGACCTAGAACTTTATGTTGGTAGCTGTCCTGACCTGGCTCTGGTCAGGGTGAAATTCTCGTTCGAGCTCTGACGTACAACTCCCCTCCCTAGGTGGGTAGGCATGCTTTCTCTGAAGTTTTGTCGTGACGTGTAGTTTATCCCAAATCAGCCGAGGTAAATGAGGTATGAATTGCCAAATAGGCTCTACTCCAACAAGAGCCCTGGCTGAGCCGAAAGATGCTCAGCGTGAGTTTCATGTACGCTTCACGTTTACCATTGCAGGAGTGAACTTCGCTCAGACCAGCATCTAGCTTGCTGCCTCATCGTAGCCCGTGAGGGTAGTGGTCATAAATTAGCAGCACCGAAGCAGAAGTTAGACGGTGAAGCCCAAGGAATAGACACTGACCACACTGAACAGGGGAACTAGAACGGGGAAGATATTGCGGCTGCTTGCTGGCGAGAACTCCGGTGACACGACAAGTTAGACAGCCATGCAACAAGCAAACGGCACAGCTTAATATACAGTGACAATCAGCAGAGCCCAAGCCTGCCTAGGCGGGCGTGAACGGCGAAAGGGTCTTCACGAATAATGCAGAGGGTTGGCCGGTTATTTTCCATTTAGTCACTGCCCAGCCGCAAGCGGGCCCGCAAGGCAAGACCAGTTAGAAAACGAACGGCAAGGCTACCATGGCCATTGAATCAACTCAATCTAATTCCGTGGAGCTGGAGGAGTGAACCACTCCTTGAAACGCCACATACCAACGCAAAAACAGAACTGGCCAGTGTGCCAGAGTCTCTGCATATCAATGAGCCATTTCTAATACCAAGAACCTACATGATAGTACCTTAGCTGTTACCGGGTGGACGTTTTGAGGCCAGTTTTGCCCGCCTTCTATTTGTGCAACACTGGCTGCACTTGCATGGGTCTTTGGCTGTCGTTCGGCTTCATACTAGCACGAGGTATAGTCATTCGCTGCAGCATAAAGAAAGGGTTGGGTGAAGTTAAACCCTGGAGAGAGAAACGTTCGAAGAGTCGAGAAGAGGAAAAGAAGAGAATAGCCAGACTTCATAAGCAGCCGGGTGGCCAACATTCCTGGGCTAGTCTGGTCGTCCGTCGTCAAGACACGCACAGCCTGGAGGATGCGTGACGTGAGGGCGGATTGGCATCCTTCATCACCTTCTAGACGTACAGGCAGCATCTCATGGGTTTCAATTAAGAACTTTGCTCAATCTCATCGAGTGATTGCTTCCCTAAATTGCCTGGGAACAGCCCAGGTGCAGAATGATTGGCCTGAGAATGGGGTGAGAAGGGAGCTCGGTATAAGTTTTCAGATAAAATCAACTTGTTGATAAGGTATGAAGCTTGTATCACAGTACGGCGTCACCTTGACGCGTAGACCAGGTAAAATCTTCAAGTCGTTCGCCACAGGGCTAACTAAGGATTAACAACGTCCGGAAGCTGCGAGATATGGGAACGGGATTGAAACCATCTTAATAAGGGGTCGAGTAAACTAAGCCAGTGGGCATTTCGTGTCTGCGAGGTTCGTATTGACTGCATTGAGAGTCCAGATCTCTCGAGCCGTGTTTGACAAAATTATTACCCTTAGATTTACATGTCAACGATGCCCTGAGAAAATCAAGCGCCCTCGGACGCCGAGCCAAGATAATACCTCGGAAACGCACAGAGGTTCAGCCTCGAGAATTGAAAGCGCAAGAAGAGCCCAGTATCGTCACTTTTCCATTCACAACAATGGAAGATCTATGGAAGATAAATGGGCTGCATGTCTCGCAACGGCTATCACATTTGCTTCTATTCCTGGCCCGGGGGCGAGATCCGGGGCGGGACGTGACTTGGCGCAACATTAGCTGCTCGATTACCTAGGGCTGTCCGAACACCAGATGACTTGCTGTGAGCGGGACGTACAGCAGGAGATCTGGTGTCGCGATGGTGCGTGGCCGGGGTGCTTCTCCGAAGTTGCTGTCTGTAGCCCATCTGATGTTGGCGGCATGGGAAGAGGGAGCTGGCTACCTTAAGGTATGGAGGTATTCCGTTTCTAGCACTGATACCTATCTGCCCGCCCAGACTTGGAACTGCACCGATGGCCTGATTTCCCCGCTCGTAGGGGTTACCTTCCCGGAAGGGTGTGTGTGCGACCTGTCGTTATGTGTGGAATGGCTGGGTGGTTACTAACGGGCCAAAGGCATCTGAGAAAGCAGACCTCACGGGAGTGGATCCATATCTAAGGTAGGTGCCATGAGTGGTGGAATGGCGTGCGGTACGTACCATTGAGCCGGGCGGCGTCTTCAACTTCTCTCCCGCAGTTGTGGGATCTCGGCCAATCATACATCGAGACCCCTGTGTCCCCGCCTGTTTTCTGCAGCTTACCGCCCGGTACAACTTCTTACGGTCTAATTGGTTCTTCTCAGGGATGCTAAGAAAGCCCAGAAAGCTGGCCGATATTTGATTGGGCCGAGCTCCGGACCCGCTATCTTGGTGCTTCGGTTCGGACCCTGGCACCATGCTACTATTCTAAGATATCTACCCAACTTTGATGTCCCGTTCTGCCCACGACTCAAACTTGAAGGATACATGCGTTATATCGCGACGGGACGAAGCACCCTCAGGTAATGACTGGCTGCGGAACATGTACCTTACTTGGGGGGAGTTCGGATCTGGCGGGCAACGTGGTTAGCTGACGACGCACATTCAATTAGTCGCCCAGTGCCACATGCCGAGTAGGGTTTGTCCGAATTTAGGATCAACACCCTACCCTACGAAGATGGAGGTTGGCTTTGAAGGAACTGTCGCCCTCCGTGAATAACTAATAACCCCGTATCTCGCATACGTATACTAGGCCTGCACCAAGGTTGGTCCCTCCTTCGTTTATTATCTGGCTATGACTAGATTCTCGTCGCGAAGGATCTTGATTCATCCCTTCCACCATATACTCTTGTTTCTCTCTTTCTTGCTGACGAAGATTCGACTGTCCTGACATGCAGATGATTCCAATGTCATAGTCCGACCCCTCTCCCGAGACGATTATCCTCACTTCCGACTTTCGCATCCTACTTCTCTTCTCGCCCCCCTTTGTTTCCGCCGCACCCTCCGTGGTGGTTAGAAACTGCCTTGGCTCACGATGGGGATCTCCCATCGCCGCTGGCGAGCATTCTCTCTGCTCTCCCTCCTGACGACGGCTTCGACATTATACGTGAATCCCGGCTCAGACTGCGCAGCTCTATGCCTTGGGGGTACAAACGAAAATGCGGGCTCGACGGAATCATCGATAGGACGCTCTGATATCGTATGCCGAGACAACGAGTATAACTCCGAGGCAGAGGGTATCAGGTACAGGAACTGCGTAGAGTGCCTACGAGAAAGCCGCGACGTACATGGCGATGACAGCGATCTCCAGTGGATGCTATGTATGTCGAGAAAGAAAAAAAAACTTGTTTCCCCGTTCATGGCTGTGGAGGGTTACTGATCGAGCTGCTTAGACAATATGCGCTTTGCACTGGACACTTGTTTGTGGAATAACGACACCGCCATCCACTCGCCCTGCATGATCAATTTTGCGTGCGAGCCCCTAGCTGAAGCTGTCGGTACTGGACTTTCGACACCTGGCGAACAACACTTCGACTACTGTACTGCCGACGGGAATGTCTTTAGCAGCAACAGCCACTGGTCGTGTGTTTCCTGCCTTCAGAACAGCGCCATTCAGACTTACTATCTGTCCAACTGTATGCATACGTCTCTGGCGACATGAGACTTCGCGAAAGCTAACATTGTGTGATTTAGTTCTCCAGGTCCTGAAAGCAGGTTGCGAACAAGAGCCGGAGCTTGGCGGCCTAATTGAGTTGGGGGATGGCGAAATCTTTGCGCAAGAACTTCTCAATACAACCATTACAAATACCACGCTACCGGGCGAGGGAGGAGCTGGGTCAGACACAATGACCACCGGCACTATTGTGGGCATTGCCGTAGGGGGTGGACTCTTCCTCCTCGGAGCTATCGCCCTTATCGTCGTCTACTGCCGCCGCCGCAAGAAGCGACAGGCCGATGATGCGGACCCCGACCAAACTCCTCCCCCAGATAGGAGCAACGAAAGCTCTTTTGCCGCCACCAAGCATAGCCCCCGTGGAGACTTCAGCGACCCGAAGAACTCCCCTTCCATACGCTCATCAGAGTACGAGTTGAAGGAGGCGCAGAGGTACGCCAGTCATGCCGACTTTTACGAAAAAATGGAGGAAAGCGGCAGCGGCAACCAGAGAAACGCAGCTCACTACAACTTCGATCCTCGCCGCCACCAGCATGGGCCCGGCAGTGCGCTACCATCTCATCCAGCTTATAACCCGCGTTTCATGACCCGAGATCCCGCCAAGTCCTCGCCTCTCAGGCCCAAGAACCACCAGAAGTCCTATGCACCCGACTCGTACGCCATGCAGATGTATCTCCATGCCGCGGAAGACCACTTGGCCGCCACAGGGTCCCGCTCGCAGACTCCTACGGGGCGGGCCTCACCCCAGGGTTCAACTGGTGGTGCATCGGCGGAGGTCTCGTCGACAAGAGATCAGGGGAGCGCTGCTGCTGCCGCTCTGCCCGAGGGCATTCCTCCTCCACCTCCAGGACCCCCACCATCCGACAACGCGAATAATACTTCTAGGACCTCATCTAGTGGTCTGCTCCCTTCTATTCCCAGGATCCGGCTACCGAAGACGCAGGAAGCCACAGCGACACATAACACCAGGCAAGAGGATGGGGAGCAAGGCAACTCCGGGGCACTGAACATCTCGGAGCCCATGTCTCAGCATGAGACGCGATTCCCTGATAGACCAATTGGGGGCGCCCCGGCATTGTCTACCAGAACTGAGCTATCCTTCAACCGGGTCGACAAGGGCGACATGGACCCACCGAACACGGGAAGGAGCATGATATACAATTAGTGGTAGATGTAGCATTCGGGGGGGGTGAAGATGAATTTATTCTTCTAGCCCATGCATTGGGAGAACTGGGTTGGACGGTCATCTGGAATTTGGTTGGAATAAAGTAAGGCAGGCGCTAAGGCATCATATATACCCAGATTTATATGTGGTTAATGTTCCATGATTTCATAACTCATTTCTAAAGTACGGTAATAGTAATGTACAGCTCCCAACATCGAAGTCAATCGCCCAGACGCCTACCAGGGCCTCTTGACCTCCACGCTTCGGGGAGGGGCCCGCTTCCAGTCGAGGAACCGGTGGCGTTACCAGACGGCGTCTCGGTGGGCGGACGGAAAGCCGTACCGTAACTGCGACGAATATCGCGCGGTGCCTGGACTATGCGAGAGAGGAACGCAGGGGTAGGGAGCAGATTCCTGCCGCCGGTGAAGGTTGGGTAGATCCTAGTAAGAAAGTCGTAGAGGTGTGCTACGAACAATCCGCAGAGTTCCATGAGGAAGGGACCATCCATGAGGAGAGACATGAGCAACAAAGCGAACGGCATGAGCTGGGCAGGGATGGTAAAGAAGTAAATGCTGGCCTTCATGCCTCGCTGATCTTGGGTCGCTGTGCGGCATATGGCGAGGATCAAAGCGGGAAGAAAGAAACCGCCCCCAAAGAGGTAAGTGCAAACGGCCTAGAGCAAGGTATCAGCTCGGCTCATCTCATTACTCTTTATCTGCAGGGACGGCAGAAAGAAAAAGTGACGCGTCATGCGACTTGACAATATGTAGGGAGCTCGAAACCACCCGAACGAGATGGGACCATCGCACGAGTCATCCATAAAGACATCCCACCATGCCTACGCCGCAGACCAGCCCTTCGAGGTATGTGAATATGGGCTGGCTGTGCCGCAGGGGTAATCTTCCTCGTTTTCAGGAACCGCGATAGCAGTGGGAGCACACTATGCGGGCAGATAGACGAGGTGCAAAGGGAGCGAGAGACAACGCATAGAATACGGGCAGAAAGACACGAGACGGAAGGAACATGATGTAGATGGGCAGGACGATCGCTTACCGTGATGGCGCTGCAGACGAAGATGAAATACCAAATTAGATCCTCACGCTTGGCGAACCTCGGGTTGTCCATCTCAAGCGACCTGGTATTGGTATAGAGGAAGTAGGCATCAAATGTCATGCTCAGCTTTGGTCTCGTCAGAAGGAAATTTGAGAAGACGCGCCATATCTGGGGAGGAAAGGTGAATAGACGAGCGGGAATAAAGGCGAGCCAATACGCCGGGAGGAGTCCGGCATAAATGGAGACAGATGTCACGAGAGTTGCTGCAGAAATGGTCCTGCATTCCATGTTAGCACGACAAGTCTGCGCATACAAGTCTTGGGGGATGGATTTTGAAAGCCTTACCTGGCAATGGGGGGAAGCCGCCAGAAGCCGTCTGTCACGTCTGCCATGCTCATACTGGCGACGTTGGGTGATAGACCAGCAGCTCAGCGATTAGAAACTGCTCAACCAACGCGAACGTGGATGAATTCTCTCCAATAACTGCAGAGACAAAATAGAATACGACCAGTTATTCCCTGATTGGTATCTGCAACCAGTATTGGAATAATACAGGGGATGTTCCCGGGTCGAAGATTGGGCGTGTCCTCTTCCAAGGAGGTGAGAAGTAGGTGGGAAGAAACAAAAGTCTGTCCTTTTAAAATTGATGCGTGGAGAAAACTTATGGGCTGGTCTTTTCTGCCGTAAGGAGCTCTCCACAATTACTGATTGAGTAAGGCGGTGGAAGGTGGTGGAAGTCCCAGGGCGGCGGCCTTTACGGTAGGTCGTCATCCGACATCGGATTGGCCAATTCCCTTTATGGGACCAATTTGCTGAGGCTTGACAGGTGGTGCCCACTGTCGTCCAGCGATAGCGGTATTGGATCTGTAGGAAAAGTTTCGAGGGTCTTGTATAAAAACGGTATGGATGCGTCACGTAATAAGGACGGACTCGACGTGCGATTTAACTGCATTATATTGTCAAGTCAACACCATGTCGTCAACATCCTCGAGCCCTCGCTGGGCAGCCATTGCCCGCGATACCAACGAGACCAAGATCCAGCTTGCGCTGAACCTGGATGGCGGTTCCTTTCCTCCCGAGACTGATTCACGGTTATCGGCCGCGATAGGAGGCGAAGGCCATGCTTCCCAGTCGAGCAAGTCCCAGATCATCAACATCAACACGGGAATCGGCTTCCTTGATCATATGCTGCACGCCCTGGCCAAGCATGCCGGTTGGAGTCTGGTGCTAGCCTGCCAGGGCGACCTGCACAGTCAGTCTTTACCCCTCCATCCCCCGCACCATGCCACCATCTCGCAAACTTCCTTTACCCCTCCTCCAAGGCCTATGTACTTCGAACTTTAGCTGACACGAAAAATGTTTTTGCGTTCCAGTTGACGATCACCACACCGCAGAAGACGTCTGCATCGCTCTCGGTACCGCCTTCGCCAAGGCCCTCACCAGCGTTGCCGGTCTCGCCCGCTTCGGCTACGCCTACGCACCCCTCGACGAGGCCCTCTCGCGCGCCGTTGTCGATCTCTCCAACCGACCCTACAGCGTCGTTGATCTTGGCCTCAAGCGCGAGAAGATTGGCGACCTGAGCTGCGAGATGATTCCTCACACACTGCAGAGCTTCGCCCAGGCTGCTCGCATCACTCTGCACGTAGACTGCCTCCGGGGCCAGAACGATCATCACCGTGCCGAGAGTGCGTTCAAGGCTCTCGCTGTTGCGATACGTACTGCCACGAGCAAGGTTCCTGGGAGGGAAGGCGAAGTCCCCAGTACGAAGGGCACATTGAGTGCATGAGGGTAACGATAACAATGAATAAACAAGAAATAAACATGGCATGTCAATTCCGTCGCAGACACCGACAGTCGTCCGAAGTAATCTGATATGGTTATGTCACTGTGAGCCAAATCCTCTGACATTGCGGGAGAGGGGAGAGAGCGAGAGAGAGAGAAAGTAATCAAAATTCAGGCATAAGTATCTTGTGGAGTTGTTTGCTCGAGTGTACCAAAACGCCAGGCTCTCCTGCGACAGACTGTTCTGTACAACTATTCCCACGATGTTCCTAACGCCCAAACTCCACTGTATACTCCAGGTTGTATTATCCAGAAATTTCAACTGCCATCCTTAAGCGTCAATATTCTCCTTGTTATGGGACGCGTCGAGACGCCTCTTTTCCGCCTTCCTACGCTCAATCCGAGCAATAGCGGCAGCACGTCTTTCGGGCGGCAGCGTCTTATTCAGTTTCGCTTTCATGACGTCGGCGTCGAGATTGCGAAGATTCAGATGGGACATCTCATCTCCCTGGGAGCCGATATAGTCGGTGTCTTTGATCGCGAAACGATGGAGAGGAGCGGGTGTGCGACCAGATGGGATGCCGGCCGAGATCTCAATGTGCTCGTTCAACTCAGGGCCAAGGTCGTTCCTATTACGCGGTGACCTGGGAATGAATGGCTTCCATCGGGGCTCCTCGAGGTTGACCCTGTCACGAAGAGCATTGGCGAGAGGTTTCTTCGCGGCGCCTTCTTCTGCGGCAACATTGGCCTTGGTTGTCATCGGCTCGGCATTCTCGATGCTCTTGATTCTGGAGTAGCGAGAGGAGTTCTCGTTGAGTTTCTTCCCCAGGGAATTGATCAGATCCATGCTACCTCTTCCGCTCTGAAGTGCAACGGAGTTGCTGTCTTTTCGGTCTGTTTGGTTCTCCGCATTGGAACGCAGTGGAGGGAGTTCGCTTGCAATCGTGGAATGGGCACGCGCGAGGGCCACCGGAACACCGATCGAACCAGATTTGAGAGTCTTGATCTCTCTCTTGAGATCTGCTATCTTGGCCGTCGCTTTGTCCAGGACCCTCTTTGTTTCTTCCTCTCGCGCAGAGGCCTCCAGTTTGTGAACCTGGAGCTCCTCCTTCAGTGCGCGTAACTCGTTGTCTTTGCGGCGGATATCGGCCTTGGCTTCCTCCAGCTGAGCACTCATATCTGTCGATTGGGAAGTCGGCCGGACACGGTCCTCGCCTAGCGCTCGTTTCTCAGTCTCAAGTTCGGTGGCACGTCGCTCCGCAGCAAGGAGACCAGCCTTGAGTCGTTTAACTTCGTCGCGAAGGTCCCCATTCTCTCTGATTTGTGCTCGAGCACGTCTCAACTCCCGCTGCGTCTCCAATAACGTCCTGTGTGTCCGTGGCGAAGCTGCTTGGCGGCGTCGTCGTGTCTTGGTATCCTGGTCGCTGCCATCGTCATCTCTTCTGGCGTTCAACAGTGCTTCAAGTTCTTCAACCTGGTTTCGGTATTGAACGGCCAGAGCGGTCTGCTTGGCCAGGTCCTTCATAAGATGTGAATTATTTCCTTCGTCTCCCGTAAGTCGTTTTGAGGCCATGTGCGCGGCCATCTCCGTGATCTGCTTCTCCATCTGTATGACCCTCTCTTGTTCTTCCTTGAGCTTGACGCTGACATCAAGTGCCTCGGCATCTTTCATTTTTGCGTACGACTTGGCTAGTTGCTTATACTTCAGCAATTTTTCCATCTCCGTCCTGGCATCTTGGTGGTACTGTTCGAATTCGGACTTCCAGTATTTCCCGGATCGAGAATGGGGCTCGTTCAGGTCGAGGGTAACGTCGTGAGTGCAATTATCGTCCAAGCCATCCTCTTCATCTTCTTCCCATTCTTCTTCTGAGGCATTCAACCTGGGCGCGTCTACTTCCTTCGAAGTATGTTTTGATCGGCGCGATTGTTCGAGGCTTTCGGTTAGCCGTGTGCGTCTGGTAGACGGATTATCCTTCCGAAGGGAAAGGGTGCGAGGATGCCTTGAAGGGTCATCGGTGTGTCCATTGCTCTTGTCGATTGCCGAAGTTCCATTGTTTAAGGTGTTGTGATCGAAGGAAACTCGTTTCCGACGAGATGCCCCAGTTCCAGGCGTCAAAAGAATGCCCTGGGGTCTCGAGGGTGTCCTCGTAACGTCGTCGCGGTCGTTTTCCGCGATAGGCTGGACCATTTCCTCAATCTTCGCATGTTCGTCAGGTCGAGCTGGTGTGCCGAAGATGGCGCTTTTCAATGCGCGAGCCGCAAAGACTGGGCCGGGAGTATCGGGCTGGTCGATGTTGGTAGTATCATCTGGGATCTTAAAATTAGGCAATCGTTCGAGATGATGCTGGGCAGAACGGGTTGGGAGGAGAGAAACAAATGGTAATGGTCAGAGGGAGCGACGTCAAGATGGGCTTTACGTACCGCCTGTTGTGGCCGCTTCCTGGCCTCTTGCACTCTCCAGTCCCCTCCGGAGAACCCAGCCAAGCATTCTGAAGTCTGGCAACACGCGGGCAGGTATGAATGCAAGTGCTTTCGTATCAATAGCTTGTAGCCATGAGATCACACCAAATGTTTTGATGGTGAGGGATACCGCAAATAACGATAAGAGAATCACGAGTTAATGGAAGAGGCGAGTGAGCTTTTGGTTGTTTGACGTAGTCTGAGGGGGGGAATATGGGAAAGAAAGTAAGGCCAAGAAGGAGTTCATTGTTTACTTGATTACCGTATTCGGTTAGTGGAGAAGATTTATGGTGTCTCGCGTCGTGTTGCTCTTGTGCTGCTCCAGAGTACGTACCTTACAGAATGGAGTAAGGTACCTTATTTCAGATTATGATTACCTAATTACCTTTACTTTGTATTCTGTCACGTGATGACTGTAATGCTGATGTTCACCACCAGTCTTCCTCCTTTACACTTCCAGACATGGCCGGAAAGGCCTCGTCTGCCTCATACCATGTCTTCAAATATGAATCTCATTCAATGTCCTTGTGGGAGTACTTATAAACAGTCCTCCTTTCGAAAACACCGCAATTATCCTCATTTCCTCTGTTGTGGTACAGTGTTCTTTGGTGAGAAATGGAAAAAGCATCGGGCTGCCACTGCCCATGAGGGTAAGGAAGTCTCTCTACGAGGGATGAATGCTCGAACACTTCAATCAAGTGAGAGCCGGTCAGCTATTCTCGATTCCAAAAGAGTACCTAGCCAAATTACACCGGAATCTATCAGTTGCAGCACCTGTCATGGCATATTCGTGGGTGAGACGAGACAGCAACACGAATGCAAAGCACGGCACAAATCGCACACGGAGGTGCCTAGATCAGCTTCTTGTCTCCCTCACGTTTCTCAAGGAACAGGTCCAGACGACTCAACAGATATGCAATGGCAGGATGCAACCGATGAGAACTCCCATCCAGGACGCCAATCCATTGACATTGAGTGTGCCATTCGTCAAAAGTATGAGATGATGATACAATCCCTCCTTCATCAGTGCCAGGAAGGGGGCCAAAGCAAATGGTCCAAGCGAGGCACGAGGTGGCAGAGGACCCTGCAACTGCTTGATCGGATATTTCCTGACGTTCAAAATCTTCCATTTGCCCGAATATCGACTCCTAGCCAGCCGCAAAATGATTCTGACGTCTTGTACGTCACGGAAAACGAATTGATGGATTTCCTTGATCAGCATGGCTCGCTCCCCAGGCCAACAATAATACGGCCGACAAGCCCTTTTCGGTCCCATCGCGAAGATTTCCTATGCTTACTCCAGGATCATTTCAAGGGCGGAGAGATTGATGTTCAGGACATGCGCACAACAAGAAACATCCCGGTCAAGATGCCCGTCGAAGCCGTTGTCAAGCAGATTCGGAGCGGAACCGACTTTGCAAACGGGCGATTCCCGCTCAACCTGCTCAATTTGAAGTTCCTAGGACAAGCGCCCCCAGGCCCCGCGTTTCTGAATGCTCGTCGTTTCAGCCTCATCCCGGCCATCAACTCACGCCTAGAGGCGGACTGGACCGGGGAGGTCACCGCCGGGAAGCGGACTCAGGCCACTATGCTTGGAGCTAGGGAAATAGACCTCGTCAGCTCCATGACGTTCTCCCTCTTTGCCCAACGAGGCTCCATGACCGGCTTTCACGTCGATGTCCCCGACGGCACCTGGATTCGTAATTGTTGGGGGCTCAAGGTGTGGATTTTCCCAGAAGACTTCCGCGAATCTGACACGGCCGAGTTCCGAGAACTGGGCCACGACTGGGTCCCCAGTGCGGTTAGGTTTATTGTCCTCGAGCCAGGCGACACTCTTGTGATGCCCGCGGGTCGGGCGACCCCTCATGCTGTCCTTACTCTCGAAGATTCCCACATGGTTGGTGGTATGTTTCTCGATGCCGACTGTGTCCTCGGCACTATCCGGAAGTTGCTTTGGGTGACAGAGAACCCGAATGCTGCGAACGAGGCTATTCCGCTCCAGCTGCTCACTGGATGGCATCATCTGCGGGATCTTTTCCTGGCCAGGGGCCCCTCCGAGGGCGATGTAACCGAATTCGACAGTCTGACCAACAGGCTTCGAGATGCACTGAGTTGCTCGTGCACAGGGCCATGCGAAAAGGTGTGCCTCGACTGCAAATGCGCATTTTCAGTGGCACAGGATGGGCGATGTACAGCTTGGTGTCACCCCCCAAAAACGAAACGCACGCCATCTAGAGCGACTTCGCAGCCTGGAACACGGCTTCCGAAGGGCGCAGGTGGTACGACATTCCGCCCAAGACATCTATGCTCCCCTGGATACTGACACCCGTACTATAGCTGCTCGAAGAGAAACCGCTTGGAAGGAGCTTTCTGCCCTGGAGTCCCAGTTTAGCACTTTCAGAGAATGGTAAGCCTCGGAACTCCTCCCTGCAGGCTTCCGGATGCATACTGACTCTCCTAATAGCTTGGTCCAGGACAGGCCAGACATTGCTGCTCGACTGTTTCAATCAGCTCAGCAGTCATCTCCAGAGATTCTAAGCTGAAAAGAATCTCTCTCTATAACAAGCATCCAGGGCGCCATGAACCCTTGGCGACCAACCTAGAATCCTCCACAGTGGCGTCTGGGGTTGAAACGTTCGAACGATAATTTTGCGTTCCTAAAATCTGGGCAGCACTGTATCATAACCACGCTGATATGAGATCAAAGGGTAAGGTAATTGAACCCACCTGTCTTTCAAGAACAATCCATAAGTCATGACCGACCAACATGAAAGACCCAGAGGAACGGAGCTATGGTAGCAGCACTTGCTGACCTGCTATCACGGCCCTATCCACTGTGAGGCAATCAAAGACATACCTCAAATTCTTTGCTAAGATGCAACTCTGCGTTATGGCAGACAGTCAGTTCGAACTTCAGGGCTTATCGACAACTTTTCATGAACATAAAACATGAACGACAAAACTCCGTGGAATAGCCATCTTGTTAGCGTCTCGGGAATAATGTGGGCATGATGTCAGGGGCCCATTTTTTAGCAAAAGATAGGTACTGGCGTCTTTCAGCGGCTGAGGTTCATTTGATAAGGTAGTGGGGGGGTTTGTACCCGTTATCATGCTTGGGAGCCTCTAATATTACATAATACCGCCAACTCCAACGGTGTGGTCACACCCCTCCTCTCAAGAGTTGTCGGGTGTTTGAATATGAGCCTGATCAAATATTGACAATCGACAAGCAAAGCAAACAAATTCACTTTATGTATATCTTTTGAGGATGGTCTTTCCACAGTGAAGACTCACGGCCTTTGGCTGTGACGATCCTTCCTACCATCCAACGTCTCATCATGGCGTGGAAACCTTCTGGGGTGTGGAATAAACCCACTATCAACTTGCCGCAACGAGATGACTCCAGCTTCCCGGGTCTCACGCCCAGGACCCCAGACGCTACTCCTAAGATCGAATACGAAGAGCTGCAACAAAATGAACTCATGGTTCTCGAGGCCATATATGGCGAGGACTTTGTGAAGCACAAGGAAACCACGAGTGCATGGAAGGTGAACTACTACCTACCCTTAGCTCCAAGACTCCGAGTCCCGGATTGCCCTTGGATGTAGTTCTGGAAGATATTAATCACAAATTACTGACCGAGAAGGCGCAGCGGACCGATCCCTCATTTGACATTCGGATTCGGGCTCCCTCCAATGACGACGTTGCTCTTACTTTGGGGGTTGTTCTCACAGCAACTTACCCTAAAACCCCACCCCTCCTAACAGTGAAGGACTCGACTGGACTTCGTGACGTTACGCATTTTAAGGTCCAGAGGTTCCTTGAAACCGAGCCGAAGATCTTCGCCCAGGAGCAGCAGGAGATGATCGACCGCATCGTGGAAGGCGTGCGAGAAATCCTAGAGGACGCAGCTCAGGCCAAGGCCAAGGGACTTAAGTTGCCCTCCCTCGAGCAGGAGCGGGCAGCTCACGAAAAGAAGCTCGCCAAGCAAGCCAAGGAACAGCAGGAGGCCGACGAGCGTAGGCGCGCAGAAGAGAGCCGGGAGGAAGAGCGGGTTCTCGGCGGCCTGCTGGAGGAGGAGCTGAAGCGCCAGAAAGAGCGGGCAAGAGAGCAGCGGAAGAAGAGTCAGCCTAATGCGTTCATCCCCGTCCCTCTCACGGGCGATGGCGACCTGGACAGCAGTCAGATCGTTTTTGACCGACCGTGCCGGGCGACCGATAAAACCGGCAACGAAATCATCTTCCAGGCTGTGACGGGTAAATCCGAGCATGCCAGGGGCCCCGTTTCTACCATCTACGTCGTGCGTCCTGTCGTGCCCGCTGGCCAAGAGTGCCCTGTTCTTGCTCTCAAGGAAACGCGGCTCCGGACAGTCGGGAAGGATGTCGCTCTGTTCAAGAAGCAAGCCCAAGCTCTTGAATCCTTGCTCGAGTCGTTGAAATCGATCCGTCACAGGAACCTTCTTGAAGTGCTCGATTTTCGCGTCGAGAGGGGCGCGCAGGCTGGGGATCGCAAGGCCCCCAGCCCCTGGTCCTTCACCATTCTCACACCTTTTGCCGATAAGGGGCCGCTGGATGAACTCCTAGACCTTGCCGGCCATCTAGAGGTTGGGAAGGTCCGTGCCTGGACTAGAGATCTCCTGGACGCTCTGAGCTTTCTGCACAACAAGTCGGTAGTCCATCAGGACATCCACGCCGGAAACGTCTTATTATTCAGGGAGCCGACTGGAGAAATCGTCCCCAAGCTCTCCGACGCGGGCTATCAGAGGGAATTGCACACCTTATCTGCTCAAGCTCGGACTCTCCCAGGTTTAGGATCGGCCAAGTCAGCCTACTGGCTACCTCCGGAGATTGCTGCGACATCAAGGCCAATCTACACGCAAAAGACTGACGTCTGGGACTTTGGGGTTGTGTTTCTACAGATGATTTTTGGCCTTGACGTGCTTCGGAAGTACCACGCCCCTTCTGCGCTTGTCGACGCTCTCTTACTCTCCAACCCACTTCGGGAACTCGTCACTAGATTCTTCAAACAAGATGGCAAGAAACGCCCTCGAGCTTTTGAGCTGGGATCGAGCGAGTTTCTAGCTACCGATGCGCCTGTGCTACTAGATGACTCGTCTTCCCTGGGCACCAGTTTCCATTCGCCGAGCCACCATTCCCATAATCTGACGCCTAGGTTAAGACGCGAGTCAACGAATAGAACTCAAGCCTTATCGAGGTATCAGGAGGACTTCGTAGAAGAAGGCCGGCTTGGAAAAGGCGGGTTCGGTGAGGTCGTGAAGGCGCGCAAGAAACTCGATGGGCAAATCTACGCTATCAAGAAGATCAGCCAGCGGTCCCAAGCCAGCCTGACGGAGATTCTAAAGGAAGTTCGACTTCTGTCACAGCTCAGTCATCCAGCCGTGGTACGATACTACAACACCTGGGTCGAAGAAATCCCCGACGACACCGACACTGAAGGGGAGACCTCCACGGAAACCGATGCATCGACGGAAACCTTGCCTCATCAACCCGATATCCAGTTTGCCACCAGCACCGGGGGTCTTGACTTCATGTCGTCGAGTGGGTTTCCTCACGTCGAATTTGAGTATGACGACTCCGGTGACGAAGAGGAGGACAATGAAGATGTAGACGAGGATGGGGACGAGTCGTCCTCGGACATTGAGGTTCGCTCTGCCTCACCAGAAGCTGTCAGAGAGACCCTGGGACCACGCAAAAACCAACCGCGGCGCCCTTATAAAACCATACTTTACATCTCTATGGAGTACTGCGAGAAGCGTGTAGGTTTTCTTCCCATTCACGCGTGAATCTAGACTGACGTCAAGAAACAGACGCTTCGCGATCTTATAGCGAGAAAGCTATACCAGAATACCCCGGAGATTTGGCGTATCTTCCGCCAGATCCTTGAAGGTCTCGCTCATATCCATAGTCTCAGTATCGTTCACAGAGACTTGAAACCAGAGAACATTTTCATCGCTCACAGCTCAGACGGCGTTGACAATGTCAAGATCGGTGACTTTGGTCTGGCCACGAGCGGGCAGTTTGCCGTCGAGAAGGGTATCGCGAATGCTTTAGAATCAGACGACATAACCAGGAGTATTGGCACGGCTTCATATGCAGCGCCTGAGGTGAGGTCCGGCGCTACGGGGACATACAGTCTCAAAGTCGATGTAAGTATTGCCCGTCTCCTGCATCAGCCGTGCTTGTGCATTGCATTGCCTTCCCTGTCTAATGTTTTTCCAGATGTATTCTCTGGGAGTCATCTTCTTCGAGATGTGCTACCCTCCGATGATGGGGATGCAGAGAGCAGACGTCATCGGCAAGCTGCGACGCTCACCTCCCATGCTACCATCCGACTTTAAGCCCACCCAAAAGACGCAGACAGAAATCATCCTCTCCCTACTAACGCACAATCCGAAAGATCGACCGTCGAGTGGAGAGCTGCTCCATAGCGGGAAGCTTCCGGTTCAGATGGAGAACGAGACGATCAGGCGCACATTGGCAGGCCTGGCTGATCCAAGCTCGCCATATTACCAGAAAATGCTTTCCACCCTGTTCTCACGTCCCGTAGAGCAAACCAAGGATTACGCCTGGGAGATGCACGCGGGTTCTCCGAGTCAGACCGATGTTTTGAACCAAAATATCGTCAAGAAGACGCTCATCTCTATTTTCCGCCGTCACGGGGCGCTTGAGATGCCCAGGAATGTGATTTACCCCAAGGCGTCACAATACGGCGACAACGTCGTAAGGCTCCTTGATTCCCACGGCACGGTTTTGCAACTCCCGTATGACCTGACCTTGGGCCACGCCCGAATGCTCGCCAAACAAACTGGAGGCTCTCCGGTGCAGCGGACATATACCTTCGGTAACATCTTCCGGGACCGACAGGACGGCCAACCCCTGATGCTTGGCGAGGTTGACTTCGACATTGTGACTACAGACACTTTGGACCTGGCTCTCAAGGAAGCCGAGGTGATAAAGGTCCTGGATGAGATTGTCACGACATTCCCTTCGCTTTCGTCGGTGCAAATGTGTTTTCATCTCGGACACTCAGAACTATTCCAGCTTATTCTGGAGTACTGTAGGATTGAGCCCGGCTCTCGCCAGGCAGTCGCCGACGTTCTCAGCAAGCTTAACATCCATGATCATACCTTCCAGAAGCTCAGGGGAGAGCTTCGTTCTCCGTTGGTAGGAGTTTCTGCCATGAGCCTTGACGAGCTACAGCGATTTGACTTCAGGGGTAGGTTTATTAGGCGCCGAACGGGAAAGCCCGTAGGTAAACGGGTGAAACTGACATGTCATCGTAGACACCCCGAGCAAGGCGTTTTCCAAGCTGAAGACGTTATTCGAAGGTACAGACATGTACCAGAGGGCCTCGTCGACCTTGGCTCATCTGAAGGAAGTATATGAATATGCCAAACGGCTCGGTGTCGTGAGCAAGATTTACATCAACCCCCTCAACAGCTTGAAAGAGAGCTTTTACAAAGGTGGCATATTGTTTTCTTGCCTTTACGATAAGAAATTTAAAGATGTATTTGCGGCCGGGGGTCGGTACGATAGCCTCATCAAAGAATACCGCCCCCGAGTCAGCGGGCACTTCGAGGAACGGCACGCCGTCGGCTTCAACCTGGCCTGGGAAAGACTCGCACGGGTACCGAAAAGTGGTGGGAAGGCGTTCCTCAAGAAAGCAGAGGATGACCACCGAAACATCTTCAATACTAAACGGGCATGTATCTATCAGCGTATTCCGTGAGAGTGGGACCAGCAGCTGATGAACATCGCAGTGCGATGTGCTTGTTGGAAGTTTCGATGCCGCCGTGCTACGATCGACCGGAATAGAGATTCTGCGAACACTGTGGGCTCACAACATCAGCGGCGAGCTTGCACACGATGCGCGGTCGCCGGAAGACTTGCTGACGAAACATCGAGACGAAAGCTACTCGTGGGTGATCATCATAAAGCAAGACGACGTCCTCAAAATCAAGACATTGGGGAAGAAAGACACGCCGGACGTGGAAATTAGCAAACCCCAACTCGTGCCATGGCTCCGGGCCGAGATCCGCGAGAGAGATTCCAAGGCATTGGTGAAGAATGTGACGACGGCGGCGGCGGCGGCAGCAGCAGCAACAGCGGCCGAAACACACGCCGAGCAGGATGTGCGTGTGCTCGTCGCTCAGAATAGAAGCAAGAAGTTCAATCGTCGCACCGTCGTCGAAAAAGCGCAACAGAGCGCTGCGAACTTGGTACAGACTTTCCTCGAGGGACCCATCTTGGCCGTGGAGACGACGGGCCAGATCCTGGACCTGATCCAGGAGACGAGCCTGTCGGACGGGGAGAGCTGGCGCAAGCTCGAGCAGTCGGTAACGACGACGGAGAGGCACTATGTAAGGGACATACGTGTCATGCTAACGGACTGGCGGTCGGCGTGGGAGCAGAAGGAGGGAAGCCGGCATTGTTTCCTGTACAACTTCAGGACGGAGAGGTGTATATACTACGATCTCGGTGCATGAGTGGTTTAGAGAACAACTTATCCCTTTCCTGTCTCATCTGAGCTGGAAGTACGCTTCGATATCCGTCTCATTTGGGGTCGTAGTCGAGTTCATGTAGAAAAATGACATTCGAGTACATGCTATGGGGAGGGATGAGACTGCATGTATCAATCTCGGATAGTAGACATTGCATACCCTAGACATAGCCGAGTGAAACATCATATGGGACTTGTCCTCTCCGGATCATCCGGAAGCAAAACTCACCCGTGTTGAAAGATGAGGCAACGGCTGCGTATTACGTGAAATACCTACGGGTGCGACTTTGAAATAAGGTAATTAATTACCTACCTTAGGTAGAGAAGCCAGCGGGGTAGGGTCCGTGGGTACGTACCTTGCGCGTGACCATGACCCTGTTGAACAGACCGTACATTAGTTTTTACGGTTACGTAACGGGCACGGATTTGACCGAAGGATATCCTGCATAATAATAATAGTACAAAATTACATTAATCAAATCTTCACTTACCTACCTAGGTACGATTTCAACCCCTCAATTTTGACCCTAGGTATTTTGACGGTTCCAGTTATGCTGTATCTAACAGACCCCGCCACCGGAGTTAACAGAAGGTACTTCGCAAATACTTCCCATATCCCCGTATCTGTACTCCGTCCCACCGTACCGGCCAGCTGGACTCGAGTCTGTGCTGACTGACGTCGGGCTGCTTTCACAATCAAAGGGATAACGCAAGAACCAGGATCCTTTATTAAAGGGTCTGGGCAGGTCCAGAAGCGCCCTTGGGTGTTTTGGAGCTTCCCAGGCGTCAATCTTCTGACCGGCTTTTACCTCCGTACTCTGTTTAATCGTGGTCTTTCTTCGAAGTACTCGTATCGTCCAACAACGTCGACATCGACTTTTATCTCGGCATATAATAGGATACTACTGCCACCATTATCTGGCCGCCTTACTCCATACATATCACTGTTCTACCAATAATACCCACCCAGCGATTGCCACGCAATAGCCAGGTCTCCTCCACGAACTGGCCTCCCACCTACCGCGCACGCCACTTCAGGTATGGAGTACTGATTGACTTCGGGTACCTTATTCTTCTGCCTGCCCTACCCAGGACCTAAAGCCTTCGACTGACTCGAAGGGAGGAAACCTTCTTACGTCTATTTCCCGTAAATAAGCCAGCTCAACGCCCCCTCAACCATCATCTTCCGTGGACGGCAACCAAACCGCGAAACCAAATATTCGTCAACCGCTATCGACCGGAAACGTGTCTCACCAGCCTCCACTTTGCATCACCGTCTCTTCTCCATCTCCGACGTACGCATATCCACACATACAAGGATGGCGCAGAAACGGCTTATGAGCGAGCTACAGGCGCTCCAGAAGGAGAAGTGGGTTCATGTTGTGGTGAGTTCTGCGACGCGCCCGTTTCCGACGCCCTTCCTCGTACTATCTCTGCTCACATGCTCTGGCTCTAGGTGGATGAGCGGAATCTTCTTCACTGGAAGATCGGTCTGATGGTCGTCAACCCTGACAGTGTCTTTAATGGAGCCTACCTGAAGGTGAGTGGGAACACTCCGTCGTCTGCTGTGTCAAGTTGGTAGCGAGGAGTCGCTCGTATCTAACTGTTTCTATCCTGTTGCTGTCCAGGCCACGATGACGTTTTCCTCCGAATATCCCTACCAACCGCCGACGTTCCAGTTCGCCAGTAAGAAGATCGTTCACCCCAACATCTACCCCGACGGCAAGCTATGCATCTCGATCCTACATACGCCGGGCGAAGATGACCAGTCGGGCGAGCAGGCCTGCGAGCGCTGGTCTCCGCTCCAAGGCGTCGAGTCGGTCCTCCGATCTGTCCTGCTGCTCCTGGACGACCCGGAAATCAACTCTCCCGCCAACGTGGACGCTGGTGTCCTGTACCGCGATAACCGCGCCGAGTATAACAAGAAAGCGGCCGAGACCATAGAGGCGTCGAAGAAGGATATCCCACGGGGCGTCAAGTTCCCCACGCCTGCGGAGCTCGAACCGGCGCCCCAGAAATCCCCAGACGATGATGCGTTCTGGAACGAGACAGATGAGGAGGCGGACTTCGATCTGGGTGGTAGCGATAGCGATTTCGAGATGGACGAGTACAACGATGACGAGGAAGATGAAGATGCGGACGATCGGAGTACCAGGGCAGCTGGCAAGAAGGATAACACGGCGTGACGATACCCCGGGCGTGCGACCATGTGAGCAACACTGAGGCCTGTTGCTGCTTCCGCTAGCGGTCTACGAAGAGGAAAGTACTTGGTGGGTGGGGGACATGAAGAGACCGTCGCTCATTTTAAGGGAAGGCGTTCTTTATTTTGTGAGCCGGGCCGTTTACCCCTTTTATCTCTCTATTCATTGTTCTCGCAAGTTATGGCAATGCAGCATAGCGACGGTCTGGAGGGCGTTCAATAGGTAACCATCACAATTCAGCTGGGCTGAGCCAGCCAGGGTAAGGACCCGTCAGGAATATTCCGCGAGCCGATGCAGATCGACTCTCGGCGGCCCGTGGCCATTTGGCTATGGTCGAAGTTCGCCAGGCCACATTATTAGCCTGGCATTCGATAGATTCTAGGGAAAGATGGACAGTCGGATAGGACATGATATCACTTTGCGAAAGAGCCAGTTTCAGTCTCCTCGTATGGAGATGCAGCCATTAGTGCTTTTGATGCTTTTCGTGCATCATGACCTGTTTGAGCCGCCCTCGAGAACCCAATATAAAATCGCTGGATACCTGTATAATCTGTCCAATTCCAAGTTGCCCAAGGGTACCACCTATCGGTAAATTGTAGTCACCTTATTTCCATGTACATGGTGTTGTTTCCAAGGTAGTGTCACGAAGCATCTACTAACGGTGAGAACCTATGCCATACTACTACCGGACTGCGCAGGTGCGTTCGTAGTGAGATTCTGTTTGTATTCTGTGCTTAGTACCTTAGGAAATTGGACTGGACTGAATTTAGACATCAGCAGCCTTTATCATCTTCTGTGGCTTACTGGTCTCGTGATGCTAGACCTGTCACGCTATTAGTGGTGTCCCACGTTATGTGTCTTGGTGACTTGGTTCTGAGAGTGGTTCCTGGGAGTATGTACTGTGAAGTATTCATATATTCTGAACATTAAGCTCTCAATCCGTCACCACATAAGGTAATAAAGGAGATATTTAAAGATTTCTTCTTATATACAGCGGCTTGAATTTCAGTACACGTGTACTGGCGAAGCTATTGTCAAGGTTCTAGTGTACCGCCAGCAGCACTAACACACAGTGGTACATGTACAGTTTGTACCTAAGTGGGTAATAGAAGTGTACGGGATATCCGAGCTATGTCCCACCATGACACAACCTGTTCGGACACCTGCTCTGAGCTTCTTTTTTTCTGTCATTTACCATTGGTACCTTTTCCCCCACCGTCCTCTTCATTCTACCTGTCTACTTCTTACTCGAAGAATTGATGGTCACTTCATAGGTAGTCGTTACAGCCCGCGTGTTCCTTCCTCTTGTCATCTTTCTTCCAACTTCGGGGCCCGCCCCTCAATCGTTCCTTTCGACACTGGCCATTTCTTTAGTGGTAATCAGTACGAAGACGACGTACATGCCGGACGAAGGACGACGTAGTCAAAAGCATCAGCACAATATTTCCGAACTCGTACCCTCTCCGCTATTGCTTCAACCTTCCTCAACGCGAACCCGGCGCCTCACGGCCATGCGGACCAGTCTACTTGACTTTCTTCGCCGCAATCTCGTCTGACGAAGCTCTTCAGACTTTCGAAACGGGCATCTAGTACGAAACCACGCGCACCAACGCTACCCACCCACACATACGTACAAGCCAAAATACCCAGCTCAAGAAAGATGGCGTCGGAACCAACAGAAGAAGACGTCTTGCGGTTCTGCGAGTTCGCATGTCTCGATGTTGCAGAATCTCGTAACATGGTCAAGGCCGCCCTGAAGGTCCGTTGGTACTGGGTCATTCCGAGCAATGAAGCAAACGAGCCGTAGACCCCGGCCTTCAAGTTGTGGTGCTGTGCTGGTGCTAACCCCAGAAAGTAGACTACCAACGACATGCAGCAGCTGATCATGGAATTCTATGACAGCCCGGAAAAGGTATGCAATGCCTCTTGTCCCTCTGTGTTCTGTCCCGACCATATTCGCCTCTTTGGGTTCCTGCCTGTTCTGCCCTTTCTAATTACCAAGAATCTGGCTCCAGTTTCGGCAAAAGTACACATGGGACGAATCAGCATTCGTTGGCGACCGTAATGGCGATATCAAAAACCCGAGAATTTGTGCGCTTCATCCGCCTCGGCCGGTCCACATTCACCCATATACCTTTGGAAGAAGACAATGTCAACGAGACTAACAATATCCCCCTATAGCCTTCGAAATAGAGCCTCCCAATGACGTCGTAATGCACGGCGCCACCCCTCCCCCCGAACGTCAATACTGGCAGGGATCGACTGCTCCGTCGCGACCCCCCTCACGAACCAACAATAACAGATCACCACTTGACGCCGTTGCTGAGTGGATGGCCGGAGATGCGACCGGTAATGAAACCCCCTATCTCTGGCCGAGATCACAGTTGATTGTTGGAATTTACTAGGTCCGAGAAACGCCGCAGAGGAGTATGATGAACTCAGGCGAGCCCTTGCCGAGTCGGCCCGCGAGTCGGGGGTAGCCCCCCAGGAGTCTGGCATTACGGGGGGGGACCTGCACGAACCGTATTTTGGCCCCGCGAATCGTGAGGAGTATGATCCGAACAGCTGGGCCATGGTACCGACCGGGCTCAGTAATACTGCTAGGCCTGTTTCTGACCCGCCTCCCTCCGCACGTCGGAGAGCACCCGGTGCGCCCGTCTTTCTCGTCCAGCAGCCCAATGCCCGCCACGCGGGACACAGGGTTGGGGCTATCCTGACCATCTTGCACGAGATACCCCTTGCGCGGAATACTCTTCTCCAGACAGGTAGTCCGGCTGCAAGCTACGGTCACAACGGCGACTGGTGGAAAGGCCAGCCCATCTATCCTCCCCATCTCCTATCCGCCATGCAACAGGGCCAGATTCAAGATACCGAAGCAGTGCGGCCTGATTTTAACGAGGAGATTCATCGTCTCATGGCCTTCCTTGACCTGAGCGACAGAAGCTATGGGTCTGCCGAGGTCCTGGCTGACTTGCTGACTGCCACAAATTGTGCGAAGGAGAGACAATTCTTCGACGCTCTGAGCCATGGCAACGAGGTGGAAGTGCTCAAACCACTGCTTCACGAGGCGCTTTCTGTATACACGAGCTCGTTCGAGATGGTGGACGCGGTCGAACGGTTCTGTTTTCTGGACTTTGAGCTGAGCAGCAACCAATGGTCGCAGATTGAGACTTTCCACGACGTCTGGGATTGTCTGGCATGGGAGGAGGCCATGACCTGGCAGGAGCTCAAGGAGGACACGAAGATGACAGTATTCAGGGAAATGGGCGATGTCGTAAGCGTCCTCCTCGACGGAACTTGTCCCGAATCGATGGAAATCCCCGACGTGTGGTACCCGGAACGCTATCTCGAAAGCAGGAAGGAGGACGCACGCTCCATTCAGGAGCAGTTAGCCTGGACTTTGGGGAAGCTGTATGAGGCGACCGCGAAGGAACACGAGCTGAAGAGATGGGAGGATCCCAAGACGCATAAAGCATATGACAAGCGAGACATGCTTGTCAAGGCAATCGACAAGTACGAAGGCTACAGCAAGTATCTGGATGGTCTAGCCGATTTCCAGGACGCCGAGCCTCCCGAGCCCATCGAAGGCATAGACATCGACATTGACAGCCTTCCCCCCTTGGCGACGGAGGTTGAGCAGGGGCTTCGGGAGAAAACAACAAAGTTGCTTGCCCGATGCAGACAACAGCTCGCCGAACTCGATACGAAACTAAAGAGTAAGGGGTTTCTTCCTTTTTTTCCTTTCTTCTTTTTTTTCGTTTTTTTCGGCGCAAAACTCAAGCAGACATGAGGGCTAACTTGAATCCAGAGTTGAACTGGGAAAGGGACCAGCTTCGGGCTTATCGACGCCATCTTGGAACGCTCCTGACAGACCCCGATGAGGTTGGGGCTACATCCCCGTTTACCGGCAAGAAGTACTTCCTTCGGGGCGTGGCCACGGCACAGGATGTCGTGTATGTCTGCCAGCGAGCAGAGCCTCAACTTATCGAGTTGGACGAAGAGCCTCCACCAGCAGACCAGTGGTGGCGACTTGCGTTTGTCCCGGGCGACGAAGATCCGGTAAAGGCAGAGGTAAGCAGTGACTGAACCATACATTCGCGACGACGCCCTCGCCAACTAACACTCTGTGCAGAAAGTGACAATAGAACTCGTGAATCGGCAAATTCTGCGGGAATCAAGGAGCCCGCTATTGGTATACGCGACCGAGGACGCCTTAAATACCCCCCAACTGCCCCTGTCCGAAGCACTTCAGCGATTTGTCCGCGTAGAAAATAAGACTTTCAACCTGGAACTATCCCGCCAACCCGAAGAAGAGGATCCGTCGAGGGCGGCCGCAACCCGCGTGAAAGTCCTGTCCCCTTCGAAGCGCAAATATCGGTCTGACAGCATCGATTCCATGGCGACCAACCGAGCCTCCGTGGGCAACAGCGATACAGACTCGAGGGCTGGGGATTTTGCCACGGGGGTAATTAAAAGTATCGAACTTGAGAGGGGGACCGAAATGGACGGCATTTCGACTGGGAAGAACATCTCCGAGTGGCAGACTCTAACGGAAGCGCCATATTATCCCCATGGGGTTTCCAAGGCCATGGATTCCGAGAGTGCAACAGCTTCTAGTGACGAAGGGACTGCAGGCCGACAGCAGCATACAGAAGTGTTTGCGTACCGAAATGCAGCAGTGGGTGTCGAGACGTCCCAAGGGGCGGAAGAAAATAGGACGGCGAATCCTGAAGAAGCGCAACTGAAAGAACCCGAGATGCAAGAACGAGAAGGCAACAACTCTCTTTTTAGCTCAAGTCACTTCCCGAGGAATGCAGATTCGGCAATGGGGGAGTCAGGCGACAGAGCGATGAGCAATTAGAACGAAGGTCAGCAATCCCGCCGAAGGCATGGGGAAGCCGGCCTCGTCTCGGCGACCGAAGCGATGGTATTCGTGCACGAGAGCTAGTCGGAGCAACGCGCGCAATAGGAGCCAATGGGTCCCGCATAAACCGGTAGCGAGTGTTCCTACTGTCGCGTCTCGTATCCACTGGGGTACTGTTTCCCCATGAGCGAGGTATTAGAATCAACGTTGAGGGACAAGGGTCATGGTGTTGACAATCAGTGACGCCTACTACGAAGTTAACCAGGGCACTTGGTCTCTTTACATGTCAACAATAGTGGGTGTTATCACACAATCGCATCAGACTCTCAATCAATACCCCTTGCATATGTTTTTCTCTGACACGATCCGTGGCTTTATTTTCAAGGCAATTTCCCCCCAAAATCGTGACTTGGGACTTGGGAGGCCAAAAGAACACCACCCGTCACTTACTCTCTCTCTCTCTGGCCGGTATAAAAGTATCTGGATCGGTATGTCTCTGTGGTTCTCGCGCCCAGACCCAGAGGACATGCCGAGAAGCGGAACCGGCCCCGGCCGGCCCGGGGTTCACTAAGCGTACGGCGTCGGGGATATGTTCGTTGACGGAATCGAGGAACGAAAACATTAAACTACCTTCGTAAAATTGTCTGTGTCCCAATGTGTTTCCATGTTTCCATATATACCAAGTAAATGTCACCTAGAGCCTCTTCAACTCAAGGTGTAAGTGATGGAAGGTTCTAGAAGGTTCCATGGGATGGAACGCTTTCGAGCTCTGTGACTGGTGATGTCACTGATTTGGGCTCCCACACCGTTGTACCATCCTCGTCTTTCGGGCAGACAGCAGATAAACGACAATGAGCTTTGCTAACACGAAATTAGAAGCATAGTCTCGTCCATATTCAGACTTTCTACAAGGATCTTTTTGTAATGCGAACAATAATAACCGTCTAAGTCTTCGAGGGTTGAGACTTCCATAGTTTTCCATTGAGCTCTTGCCGCTTTGAGGACGTTCGACTCCAGTGTAACTGCACACCGATTACGCTGTCATCCCACTGGACAAAGAAAGGACCTACAGTACCTCGCTCAGCTTCTCCTTGACCGCCCCGAGTGCCGCCACCGAATCTTCCACAACCCAGCTGACCTTTATCGCCCCACCAATACCACCCAACCCCCAAAGGACGACAATCGTCACACTCCTTATTCACTTCCGGGCTAACTGCTCGACCAACAAATCGTTCCACCTTTCAATTTGACCGAAAGCTACGACTTGAGCATCGCTCGACTACGAAGTATTCGGGTTCTGAATTCGGTACATTGTCTTTCACACCATACACCATCACCTACTCACTCCAACGAACGTACCTTTCACGACCGGTATTGCATTGATCATTACTCCTCAGTCGACGACACCACGAGAATCAACTTTGTGAAGTCCCAAACAGTGGATCGACTCCTCGTCACTACCAGGTTTCATACGGCATCCATCAGGGACAGGCCTTCGCCATGGTGAAGGAAACGAAGCTTTACGACGCTCTGGGCGTCAAGCCCTCGGCTACCCAGGACGAAATCAAGAAAGGCTACAGGTAAGTCGCAAAGACGTTGGTTCGCTTGCTGCTTCGGCCCCAGACAATACACCCCTATCCCACATTCGACTTCGTACCTAGAGGGCCAACAGCATTGCCCCTCCTAGCCTCCTAGCTCCTCGATGCAATCGTGCTGACCCAATGCTTTTCTACAGAAAAGCCGCTTTAAAATGGCATCCCGACAAGAACAAAGACAACCCCGTTTCGTCCGAGAAGTTCAAAGAATGTTCCCAGGCGTATGAGATCCTCTCCGACCCAGAAAAGCGCAAAGTATACGACACCTACGGCCTCGAGTTCCTCCTCCGCGGCGGCGGGGCCCCGCCACCGGATGGCACTGCCGGTCCCAACCCCTTCGCCGCGGGCGGCATGCCGCCCGGTTTCGACTTTGGCGGCATGCCAGGCGGCGGCACCCGGACATTCCATTTCAGCACGGGCGGCGGTGGCGGCGGCGGTCCGTTCAACTTCAGCAACGCTGAAGACGTCTTCGCCGAGTTCCTTCGTCAGCAGGGCGGCGCGGGCGGCGGCATGGGCGGGGGAGGAGCCGGGGACGATTTCCCCGGCATTTTCTCGTCGTCTTTCGGCAGCGCCAGCGGTCGGGGCGGGGGCCGCTCGTCGCGGGTGCGGACCTCGGGCGGCGGGTTCGACGAGTTCGCGTCGTCCAGGGGCGCCCGGGAGTCGACGCCCGAGGTCACGACGGTGGAGAAGCCGCTCGCGGTCTCGCTGGAGGATATGTTCACGGGCACGACCAAGAGGTTGAAGATCAAGCGGAAGATGTTTGACGAGACGGGCAAGCGGATCACGGAGGACAGGGTGCTCGAGGTGCCGATCAAGCCCGGACTGAAGAAGGGTTCGAAGATCAAGTTCAAGGGCGTCGGTGACCAGGAGGAGGGCGGACAGCAGGATTTGCATTTCATAGTTGAGGAGGTGAGTTTTTGGATTTTCTATCCCCCCCCCCCAACCCAAATGACTTTTTCGTTCGACGACATTGTAAGGCTGACCATTCCTGCTCCCCCAACGTCAGAAACCGCACCCGCTATTCACTCGTGAGGGAGACGACCTCATCCACACGGTTGACCTCGACCTGAAGGAGGCGCTTACGGGCTGGAAACGAACCATCGCCACCATCGAAGGCAGACAGATCAGCATTGAGAAGTCGGGCCCGACGCAACCCGGCAGCTCGGACAAGTACCCGGGTCTCGGCATGCCCATCTCGAAGAAGCAGGGCAGTAGGGGCGACTTTATTGTCAAGTATAACGTCAAGTTCCCGACAACCTTGACCGCGGACCAGAAGCAGAAGCTGAAGGACATTCTGTAAACAAACAACAGAAGCATCCAGCCTACATATTCAGGCGAGGGGCTCGACCGAACTGAGGCGCGCACACCGCCTGCCTTGTCTGTCAACGGAAGTTGACGGAAACAGTCTGTCCATACTGAGATCCCTTGGTCCTTACTTTTTTTGTCTTTTTCTTTCTCTGTCTTGCCTTCGGTTTTGTTATTTTTTGTCTCGATTTGCCCTTTCGTCTAATGGTCATCCTGCCCTGTTTCAGTGATATAAACATCTGGGTAGGGCGGGTTAATTGCGGCTCGGCACGGTAGGAGGAAACATTCTCGGGTGGGTGGTAGGAGGCGGTTCGTGTGCTTGCTTATCTTACGTTTTTATGAATAGGGGTTTCAGGCGTTATAGAATCATAGGACGGAAGGGCATCTAAATAGGTAAATGCACCATTTTCTTCTTCTTTTTATTATGACGTTACTTCTTGTATTCTCTTCCATTGATGTACTGGTCTGACATGGTATTCTTCCAAGGCGTCAACATGATGTGAGGGGTCTGGACAGCATCGACTTTTCTACTTCGTACCATCAACACCAATGCCTTTATTTCTCGTCTTTGCATTAATTGGATCAGGCACATCAAGACTTTTTGCCTGGAAAATCTAGTTTGAGGCCGCCGATGAGCGAGCGCAGGGGTTGGTGATTCCCTCCGAGTGCCAAGGGAAAATGAGCGGAGCAATATGCCGGAGACGCTCGATTTGAAGTTGCCCCTCCTCTGTACTGTGGATGGACAGACACGGCGTCCGAGGATGCGCGCTGATTCGGCGGCGGGTTAATATATACGCGGGATAACGGATAAGGGTCTCTCCCGGCTGCATGTGAAGTGTGCTCCGTACACGTACACGTGTACTATAATAATATCCACTGCGCCGAGCGTGAGAACTGCAGGTTCGCTCCGCCACCTCTGATGGCCCATGGAATGGCCCATGGGCTAATTTCGGCACCACACGTCTTGGGGTTATCACGGCTTACGCCCGAAAACTCACCTTTCGAATGGCGAAGTCCATAGCAAGTGATTCTGTCGCGGAGGAATGCATTGGACAGATTTGAAGGCCAGTAGCTCTTGTCAAGATGCTTGCCTTTTTTACGCCGTCGACAAGAATTCTGGCATGGTGGGGGGCAATGACGACATAACGACAAGGGTCCGAGGAGCCACTGCGGGGTTCTGGAGGGGTATGGATTGTTGCGCTAGGGAAGCCAAAGTCCTGTCACGGTGCGTACTGGGACAAGAGGGGGGAAACAAGATTGCCGGAGGAGGCACAACGTGAACATGAATTGAACCGAATGTGACACGGGGATGTTAATTGATGAGGGGTTTGAGGTACCTACTACCTATCCAAGGTAACGTGGACCTGCGAGTGATGTGCCTTATCTCCCTCCCAGGGGAGTGGCACCTGCTTGGCGACAACACAAGATGAAGTGCTCCAGCAACGAAAATTGACTTTGCCGCATAGAACGAAGGGAGACATGGTCTTGTTTGCCGTGTCACGAGAAAGGTAGACTCTATTCGGCTCGACGAAATTGGGAAGAATTGGGGTGATACAGTGCCCAGGCAGGGAGGCCCATGCTCCTCGACCATCGAGTCAGGCAAGTCACATATTGAGGATGGGAGGGGTAAGTACGAATATAAGCCGTCGTGTTATACACGTGTAGATACCTTACACGAGAAACAAGGAGGGACACACTCAAATGTCCTTACGTATGTATACCTTAGTAACGTACGGTAACTGCCCCAAAAATCAAGCCGAGACAGGTAGAAGCTACCTCGAAGCAAGGAGTGAGGCTCCACGTTCTTGGCTACCTTATGGTACCTTCACAAATAAACTTCCTTCCTACCCCTTGTGAAGATCCAGCAGCTCTTTTTATTTTGATCTCTTTTATATCTCGACTGTTTTCCCACTTTTCTTTTCTCGTCCTCCCCAACTTCAATTCCTAGTCTCTTCTTAGCCACCTCTAGCGTTAGACAGCTAGCTTACCTAGTAGATCTCACGTCGACCTATCTCCGTTCCAAGGTACTGTACCTGTCTACCTGTTCTCTAAGAAGAGAGCTGTCTACCTTATGCCTCTCCCCTCTCGACAGCAGGACGATTGTGCAGACGCTGTGCTGACGTCCTGTATCCAACCCACAGAAAAGAAAATTTCCACCCGCTCCAAGCCAGACGACACCATACTATTCCAGAATTCGTGCGATCCTCCAAGAGCCAGCCAAGATGCCCAAAGTAAGTCATACTCGGGCTGCATGCAGGCCAAGCAAACAACCAACGAAGTCATATCACCGGAACCTGGGATCTAGTACTCTGTTAACACGATCTGTTCGTTGCACTCTAGATCACCACCCTTCTCTTCGATTGCGACAACACCCTCGTGCTCTCCGAGGAGCTCGCCTTCGAGGCCTGCGCCGAGCTGATCAACGAGATCTGCGCCTCTCACAATGTCGAACAGCGCTTCACCGGCGAGACTCTCATCAAGGAGTTCGTTGGCCAGAACTTCCGCGGCATGTTGCTCGGACTCCAGAAACTTAACAACTTCGAATTGACCTCGGAAGAGTTGGAGACCTATGTCCGCCGCGAGGAGGATGCCGTCATCGCTAAGCTCAAGGCCGCCCTGAAGCCCTGCCCCGGCGTTGACGCCCAGCTCGAGTCCCTCCAGGCCGCCGGCAAGTACAAGCTCGCCGTCGTCAGCTCCTCCGCGAAGCGCCGCGTCTGGGCTTCCGTCGTCAAGGTCGGCCAGGACCGCTTCTTCCCCGAGGACGACATCTTCTCCGCCGCCACCTCTCTGCCCGTCCCGACCTCCAAGCCCGACCCCGCCATCTACACCTACGCCCTCGAGAAGCTCGGAAAGAAGGCTGACGAGGCCGTTGCCATCGAAGACTCCAAGAGCGGTACCCTCAGCGGCACGCGTGCCGGCATCAAGGTTATTGGTTACATTGGTCCTTACGCGGAGGACCGTCAGCCCGAGATGGAGAAGGTTATCCGCGACGCCGGCGCCGTTGTCATCATGAAGGATTGGAGCGAGTTCCCTGATGCGCTCGCCAAGATCGAGAGCGGGGCCGCTTGACTAGCCGACCAAGGTCGCAACAAACCCTCACCTTCTCTATGAAGTAGGTTCAGGTCTGCCAATCGAACGCCAGAGAGGTAGATTCCAGTGTGGGAAAGATGGGAAAGGGGAGTAGAAACAGCATCGGTGGCATGTGCAAGCACACATAGATAAAACTAGAAGAGCCTGCTTCACTGGGCACAGCCGATGAGGCCCATAAACCCATTCATCAACAGCTTCATCTCCTTTTTTTTTCAACACCCCCTGTCCTCCTCTATCTATAGTCCATCAAGAAACTATTCACGCTCTGCAGCGATGCCCGCCCGGGATTTGCTTCGGGATATGCCGTCATGATGCGTCCTAACCTGACTTTGACGAGATCTTTGGTGAATATGGTCTGTTTCCCCGCGTCTCTCGGCGCGGTGCCCTCAGAGTTGAAACACCACATGGAAACGGCCAGTGCTGTGGCTACCGACAGGTCCTTGCTCGTCTCGCAGGCAATGAGGACGCGACTTCCCGCTTCCGGCCCGCGCTCGTGGTTGTGGTTGTCCGACGCGTGGTCCTGTAGGTAACGAGTCACGAAGGAGCAAATATCCGGCAGGGCGGTCCGCAGGTTCCGGCTGGCCACTTTGTGTCTCCCGAGCCCGACCTGCATTTCGTGCGGCGACTTGACCCACGTCTCGCGCCCGGTGACGGCTGGTGTCAACACGATGCGACAGTTATCCCCGTTTGCTCGCTCCGAATTGCTGCCCCCTTTAGCGTTGTTCGAGTATTCGTCGATCGCGTCCAGCATGGCCAGGGAGCAGACGGCGACAGCGCCGGGCACCACCATCCTGGGTTGCGGGTTGTGGTCGCGGCTGCTGCCGTTGTCGTCGCGACGTAGGGAAACGCCTCGGAGTCGACTAGACTCGACGAGCTGCGCCACCAAGGCAGGGAGCTCCGACTCGGGCGTTGATAAAAGGAGGTCCTTGTGGGTCCAGAACAGTTCGGCTGTGAGGCCGTGGGCCCAGTTCTCCGTGTCGTCGCCTGCGCCTTGCACGTAGACGAAGCTGTCGCCTCTGGCGGACCCTTCCCCGCCGCCTCCTCCTCCTCCGCCGCCGTCAATTGTCGTGAGTTCGCCCCCTGATACGCGGCGGGAAGCGGTGCAGCAGATGACGGGGTGGAAGTCTTCGAACACGACGACCGGTCTGCCGTCTTTGTACCCGTTCTCATCGGCGTCGGCGTCGTCGTCGTCGTCGTCGTCGTCGTCGTGCAGCTCGCTGAGGTGAGTGAGATTCGAGTCCGGGGTTACCCAGAGCGGACGCAGGGGTTTCGCGATGCGGCTGCGGAGGGCGGGGAGGTCGAGGTCCAGAGCGCGCAGGGAGGCAAGGAAGGATGGTAGGAGTGCTTCGATTTGGGCGTGTTCGGTTGGGGAGACGGCTTGGGGAGGGGTGAAGAGGGCGTGGGCTTCGGTCGGGTTTGGGTGGTCTGGGAACAGGGCACGGTTGAGGACCGCGCACCAGATTGGGATGGTCTTGCTCAGAGCGTCCGGCATTCCTGTGTTGTGTCGTTTGTGAGCTGACATGTCCACATCTCATATAGCTTACGATGAAGAGGAAGCAGGGTCTCTGTGTGAATAGAGAGGATGAGATGAAAGAGCATGCAGGGAAACAGTACTCTTCCCTCGTCTTGTCGAGTCGACTATGATACACCTGGATAGATGATGAGCCTCCATTCGCTTTCTGGTCTCCTCCTTGCTCCCCTCATCCACGTGGGTACTCCGTCCCCGTCTCTTCCCTACCTTAAAAAAAGGAGACTGGGGAAAAGAGGAACCGGTGAAGTACAGAACGAGAGGAAAGGGGCAGACTCACCCATCGCACTCTCCAACCAGCCCGAGCAAATTCAAGTTCAGCCTCCGGGTACTGAACTTCCAGGCACCGGTATGACCATCGGTGCTCTTGAAATAGGCGCTTGCGGTCTTATCCGCAGGCCGGACATACCAGCTACCGCACCGTTCGTTAGCGACCAACGGCCGCCACCGCTTCCGTCGCTTTGACGAGTCTGCTTGTGTTGGCGTTGGCTCCCTCGTCGTCTCGTCTTCAATTTCACCACCGAATGACGCAGCGACCTCGCGAACAAACTCGGCATCTTGCAGGATAGACCGCAGCCGATTGTGTATGGATAGGTTAGCACGCTTGAGATCGGTCAAGAGGTGGGAGAGGCTGCTCTGTTCGGTGGATGAGGGGAAGATGAGGGTTTCGAGAGCCGTCATTTCTTAAGGGGTTGTTTCGCATCTGTTATATAAGCTTTCGTTTTATAGTTTGAGCCTGTTAGGGAGCTCTTTTTGAACAGGCTTCATTCTACGTAAGTCCTTGTTGGTGTCACTACGTGAAGGGTGTAAGAAATGCGTCGTCGCATATCCAAACGAAAACTGGTGATGTGGATATCGCAGTCACAGTGCTGATAGGACACAATGAGACATTTAACACTGTGTCCCCCTTGTCTCATGAGAGATTCGAGAGGTATATCAAGTCCTTGGTTTGGAGGCTTCTCAGACCAATTTAACCGGTTGGATTAAACGCATCGGAGCGCTCATCAGCATTAACTGACTTCTCTATGTGGGAATGGGAGGTCATACGCCGGATGCTCCCGGACCTTTTTTTTACTGAAGCTTCGTTAAGACATACCAAGACCACCGTGGGACAAGTAGGTTTATCTTCCAGTCTCTCATATTCAGCCTAGCCAAAGACAGAGGGAAGCAGACGGCTGCGCTGACGATACAAATGTCGAACCCGCTATGAAGTACAGGCCTTGCGGGGAGATTGACCTTCTTTATACCCTTTGACTTCATGTCCTTCTTAGTCCTCCCTATTTCAGAGCTCCGTCGTCTGTTCGGCCCCATCTCCGAATGCTCCCCAAGGCTCATCAGGGGGAAACTGTTTGCTGAGCCTCGCCCCTTTGAAACAGCCCGAATTAATCCTTTTCCCCCACATCACGAGCAGGTCGGCAAGATGTCGGGATATGCTAATCCGCCATGCAAGGTTGTGAACACGTCCAGGCAGGGGCTCCATGTAAAGGGTCCTTCTGTACCTATTATCTCGCCGCCGCGGTGTTAGTGGGTTCTCATCGGGAGGAATAAAATATCGACATACGTCTGGGCTGCGTAATGACCTCGGTGTCTCCTGACAGTTGCTAGGACGTGTCCCTTAAACCAGACCTTCATGGCATGGCGTTGCAAGGCTGGGCTGCCCTGGACGTGGTCGAGGTATAACCAGATGCTGTTGGCTTGCAAAGGCCTGCAATCCAGCCCCCCGCACATGATCTTGGTCTTCAGCTGTATGTCGTCCCCTTTAGTAACTCCCTCTTTTTCTTTGGTCTGGCTCTCTCCGTGACTCTCGGCCTGGGATCTCTGCTCGCTATAGACGGGGTCCAGATGGGCTTTCGTCTTGCCTGGGACATACGGCAGGACAAACGTCGTCGCTGGTGTGGGAGGACCCCCCAATGGCATCGCCTAGACTGATGCCTATAGGATAGTACGGTAACTGCTGATCCACGCGTAGTCCGAGAGGTTCTAAGGTCCCGAGGTCCAGAGATGGGGCGGACGCGAAAAGAGGGCAAGTTGTAATCCTGGCAGTGCACAGTGCCTTGGGTGGGATGGTATGTGTTGAAGCGTACACACAAGCCAAGCCCTTATTTAAATACCAAGAGAAGAGTCAACTGTAGAATAATGACGGGAACAGAACTGTGCACTCGCAAAGCTAGTGTATAAGTTTGGATTCCCTGCGAAGCGGCTCGTCGCTCCTGGTTGTGGCTTTTTTTGTTTCCTACCTCGAGACATGTCACCCGCAGGAAGGTCGTATACACACTGGCAAAGAAGTGATAGCTAGAAGCGCCTGCACCTGCCTCGTCCATCATGGCCAGTGGCTACCTGTATTCAGATAGAAGGGTAGCCATACCCTGATGCTGTGGGGTTTGAACAAAGTAAGATCAAGTCTCAATTCTCATACAGAAGGCGCACGGTAAGCTTGGGTATGCTTTGAGGGGGAAACCTACTTCGTACCTAGTGTAGACACAGGAGGCATATGGGTGACCAGAAGGGGAATTGAGATCCAAGCCGCAACAAAGATCAGCCTCAAATGTCAATCGGCACGATATGGCCCATTTTGTTTCTGTGGCACACCAAGAATAAGACAGAGTGGCTTTGTTCCTGGGCTGAGGGAGGCGAGGCGCAGACGTTGAGTTAGCGCGAATCCGTGGGGTGGCTTAGACCCAGTTGTCGGGTTGCATGGCAACGGCAGAGATAGGATACGTACCCATCCAAGGGCCCCGAAGATACGAGATCCGAAAGCTTTTATTAAGACTTCCACCATACACCAAAAAGTACCTAAGGTATCTTGCATTAAATAGTTACTAAGGTACCTGGTATTATAGCAGGTCTAGAAGTACAACGTAAGATCGAGCAAAAGAGTTGGAACTTGGCATGTTCTCTTCGGTACGAAGGTCGAACAGCTTCGATGCACCAACGCTAAGGTATGCTTACACGTACTCGGTAGGGTCGGTTGCTAGTGCCCCGGTCGCTTCATCATCCAATAGGCGAATGATTTAACGATGCAGCTTGACCCGCCGAACAGTCGTGCGCAGGGCAGCGTAATTACCTAATACGAAGTTACTTCGCCCACCCTATGTACGCGCTGGGCGTCTCAACATCAGGATCGGCGTCTCCCTCATGATTGGCATTTGCTCCCTCATCATTGGCATCTGCTCCCTCATAGCCACATTTCCTGTCCTTGCTGCCTGCAAATACGCACCATTTCCTTCTCTTTCCTCTCCAGACTCTCGTTCTTACTTTTGCAAAACTGTTCTTCTAGTTTCACCTTGGCTACGAACCCCGTACTCTTTCTTACCTGAACGAACAGCCACGAATCGCCGGATTTCCAACCAACTTTGGGTGTTGGACGTCACTTCAGCCGGGGCTCCCATCAACGAAACAAAGCAACCACCCTTCTCCCACCCCCGCGCCAACAGGCCAACTATCATCGAACCTACGGAAGAACCCACCGTATTCGAAAGACCGCATGCTCCCGTGGTTATCGGCACGACGACATACAGCTGAGATCCAACTTGGTCACTATCTCCCATCCTCCCGAGCATCCATTCGACCCTGTCTTGCGTGCCGTCATTACAGAGATCGCCAACGCCAACGCCTGACAGCGCACCTACGATAACCTTATCAAACTCTCCATCAACTTTACGACCGACACGATACCCTATCTCCAATTTCTGCTTCGGACGCGGTAGGAAGGATATCGACGTTGCCCAACCCTCCAAGACAACAAACGACTTTTTCCCCCGTTGCCCCCACCCTCTGACCGTTCGACCGTTCTTCTCAGCGTTGCCGCTTTACTCTCCTGGCCTAGCTCAGCGACCATGATGAAAATCTTCGACTGGGATCCGGAGATCGTCCCGGGTGCCAAATTGGGCATGCACAGCTTTCAGATTATCTTCTCCTTCGTCATATGGTGCCTGCAGATCGGTGTGTTCGTCAATGACGATTCAAGAATCGTCGGGAATAATGGCTGGACCTTTGCAGTGGTACGTGTGGGCCCATTCCTCTCGTCTTCCCTTTCTCTCTCTCTCCCTCTCTCTCTCTCTCTCTCTCTCTCTCTCTCTCTC